GGAAATCCGACTGTGCTCTCTATCTCTTATTATAGGCACATCTAAGCCTACTGTGACTATAACAAGTGGTATCAGAGCCCCTTGGAGCCGTCTCGACCATGCCTAGACCTGAGGAAGGGGGTGGCAGAGGTGCTGGAGGCCCAAGCACAAGGTCAACACCAAGATCCACCCGTTGCTCCGGTGCAACCTAGCCTTGGACCCTCTAGGGATGAGCCTTAAGTGTTTGGCCTTGACAAGTTCAACGGTGACAACTTTGCTGAGTGGTCCTTCAAGATGGAGAACATCTTTGACCATTATGATCTGCTCGAGGTGATGGAAGGAACGGAGAAGCGCCCCGAGAACGACCCGAAGAAGAGCCCGTGGGTGCGGAAGAGCGCACAAGGCTACCTTCTACTTGGGCAAGCGTTGGGGAGCAGCCAAATCCGTCACATCAAGCCTTTTCAGCGTGAACCAGGTAAGGGACCAAAGGCATGGGCTGCTCTCAAGGGTGTACACGCTCCTGCAACAACGGCGGTGGCTGTGGTTTTGGAGCGGCACTTCGAATTGACGAAGGCGAACCGGTGGAGGAAGGAGTGCAGAAATTCTTCGACTTGTTGACACGGCTCGAAGGAGCTGACCTGAACTACAGTGACCTTCAAAAGAAGACCAAGCTGCTGGCCTTACTTCCGGACTCATGGTCCTCGCTCATCATCAACCTTAATCGAGATCTGCCCCGTCTCTCACTCGAAGATGTGAAGCGGGAAATCTTACATGAAGATTTCCGCCGTCGCGAATTGGCGGGTCCCGATGGTGCCGGAGTTGCAAGCATGGGCCGTGGGCACGGCTGTGGAAGGGGCAGAGGGCGAGGAGGAAGATTTGGCAGCAGTAACTTCAATGGAGGCCGTGGTAATGGAGGATATGGCAGCAGCAACAACAACAATGGCTACGGGCGTGGGTGCGGTCGATTTGATGGCGAATGCCACTTTTGCCACAAGACCGGCCACATGTGGAGAGATTGCTTCAGATTGCCTGATGGATGGACCCCTTCTCAAGGCCGAGAGGTCAGAGGAGCAAGGGGAGGAAGAGGCAGAGGTCGTGGAGGCCGTGGTGGTCGTGGAAGCGAAGCGGCAAGCATGAAAGGTGGAGACTACGACAAGGACTCGAGTGATGATCGATACCCGGGCCAATTCTTCTTTGTCTCCACGCAAGCGGCAGCTGCAGCAGGAGGTGTGGAAGGCTTTGAGGAGCCAGCTACTGTGGGAAAGGTCACCCTTCACTCTCTGGACTTTTGGGTGATCGATAGCGGCGCCACCTATAGCATGACACCTCGTGCGGACTTGCTCACCGAACTCGAACCGTCGCCGGTCAAGCATTTTACATCAGCTTTGGGGCAGCGAGCAGAGGTGAAGGGCATGGGCAAGGCCATGTTCAAGGGTGCTGATGGGAAGATGGTGGGCCTCAAGAACATGCTTTTGGTGCCCAACCTAGCAGCCCACCTGATTTCCGTTCGGCGTTTGCAAAAGGCCGGCATGGACACATCTTCCAAGGGATCCAAAACCTATGCCGCAAGGCTTGGTGAGCGGAAGCTATGGGACCTTCATGAGGACAGGGACATCTACAATGAGATGTGGCAAATCCCAGTGGTCCCCATGCCTAAGGAGAGGCAAGTGGCAGCAAGCGTCAGCACCAAGCGTGAAGCGGTTGGTGGCGGTGATCACGGAAAGCAAAGTGACACCAAGAGTGACTCGAAGGAGTGCAACCTTGGAGAGACCAGCAAGGCATGTGAACCCAAGGAGAATGGTGCAGCAGCCAAAGGTGGTGGAAATAAGGAGGAGAAGGCTAAGATCAACAAAGCAGCAGCGGCGAAGGAGAAAGGAGAGAGCTTGTGGGGCACAATTGCGAGTGCCGCTTTCTCCAACCCGACTTCCGCTACGGGAGAGTGTGATTGGCTGACCTTGCATCAGCGAATGGGGCATGTGGCATTGCCCATTCTGCAGTCGATTGTTAAGCAAGAGATGGTCAGTGGCATACGTGTCAAAGGGGAGCCCAATGAGGTGCTTGACTGTCCAACATGCATGCAAGCCAAGTTCACCCGCTACCCGTTCCATAGCTCGGAGACAACGGCGAAGGCACCACTTGATGAGGTGGTGATGGATGTGGTGGGCCCCTTGAAGCTTGGAGCTGCTGGAGCTGAGTACTTCCTCACCATTGTGGACGTCTACACTCGCATGACCTGGGTGTATGTGCTGCCCAAGAAGAGTGACGTAGCTGAAACGGTAAAGACCGATTGGTTGCCGATGGTGGAGCGGCAACAAGACGGACTTGTGAAGGCGATTCACACTGACCGTGGGGGAGCATTCCTGACCAAGGATTTCTCAACTTGGTTGAAGAATCAGGGCATAAGGCACTCTCTTACCATGCCCTACTCTCCTGCAATGAACGGCATCGCCGAGCGTGCGAATCGGACACTCACGGAGACGGCTCGGGGACTTCTTATTGAAGCCGGTCTACCCAGTTACTTTTGGCCGGATGCGGTGCGGCATGCTTGTGTGGCCAAGAACAGAGCCTTGACTCATGTGGAAGAAGACAAATGGGTGCCCTATGTGGAGTGGATTGGAAGGAAGCCGAAGGTGGATATGCTTCGGGTGTTCGGGTGCATGTGCATGGCACTTGTGCCTAAGAAACTTCGGTACAACAAGCTTGATGCCAAGGCAACATGGGCCGTGCACTTGGGCATGGCTCAAAACAGCAAGGGATGGCTTCTTTGGGACCCATTTACCAAGAAGTTCTTGGTGAGCAGAGATTGCAAGTTCATGGAGAACTTACCGTACAAGGAGTGGAAGGCGGAGAATCAAACGAAGATTGGTGTGCGGCTTGGAGAGGTGAAGAGTACCGGCTTGGAGCATGTGGAGCTGCCCTTGGAGCTGAGTAGCAGCAGCACAATCACGAGGTAATCTCCTCAAATGAATGGGGATGAGGAGGAGGAGGAGGAGGTGCAGCAAGATGATGAGCGTGCAGCGTCACTTCCGCCACGTGCTACAAGTGCTCGTGGGAACCGACCAGCTTTACTGCAATGCCATGAGAGCATTCAAGTCCCTGCAGCAGAGGAGGAAGGAAGGGGGAGAAGGAGGACTCAGCCCCCCAATAGGTTGAGCTATGACCGGCTTGGAGGACCAGCCAACTCAACCTTGACCGGTTCGGCTCTCATGCTAGGCGATGATGCGGAAGATGAAAGCGAGGAGTGCGCCTTTGCCTTCTTCTCTCCGGTGGAGATGCCGGGGGAGCCTACAAATCCCAAGGAGGCTTGGGAGGGCCCCAATGGGAAGGAGTGGAAGAAGGCCTCAGATGAAGAAATGGGGAGCATCATAGAGAACGACACATTTGACTTGGTGAACCTAACTCCGGGGCGGAAGGCGATCTCTTCCAAGTGGCTCTTCAAGCGCAAGACCGACGCCGACGGCAACATTGAGCGCTACAAGAGCAGACTTGTAGCCAAGGGGTATCAGCAGCAAGAGAACAAGGACTACAATGAAGTGTATGCTCCATCTTCCAACTTCCATCTTCCATCTTCCATCTTCCACATACTGTATCTTCCATCTTCCATCTTCCATCTTCCATCGTCCATCTTCTTTCATCTTCCATCTTCCATCTCCCTTCTATCTTCCATCTTCCATCTTCCATTTTCCATCCATCTTCCATCCATCTTCCATCTTCCATCCATCTTCCATCCATCTTCCATTCATCTTCCATCTTTCTTCCATCTTCCATCTTCCATCTTCCATCTTTCTTCCATCTATCTTTCATCCATCTTCCATCCATCTTCCATCCATCTTGCATCCATCTTCCATCTTCCATCTTCCATCTTTCATCTTCCATCTTCCATCTTCCATCGTCCATCTTCTTTCATCTTCCATCTTCCATCTTCCATCTCCCTTCTATCTTCCATCTTCCATCTTCCATTTTCCATCCATCTTCCATCCACCTTCCATCCATCTTCCATCTTTCTTCCATCTTCCATCTTCCATCTTCCATCTATCTTCCATCTATCTTTCATCCATCTTCCATCCATCTTCCATCCATCTTCCATCCATCTTCCATCCATCTTTTATCCATCTTCCATCTTCTATCTTCCATCTTCCATCTTCCACCTTCCAACGTCCATCTTCCATCTTCCAACTTCCATCTATCTTCCATCTTCCATCTTCGATTTTCCATCTTCCATCTTTCATCTTCCACCTTACATCTTACATCTTACATCTTCCATCTTCCATCTTCCATCTTCCATCTTCCATCTATCTTCCATCCATCTTCCATCCATCTTCCATCCATCTTCCATCCATCTTCCATCCATCTCCCATCTTCCATCTTCCATCTTCCATCTTCCATCTATCATCTTCCATCTTCCATCTTCCATCTTCCATCTTCCATCTTCCATCTTCCAACTTCCAACTTCCATCTATCTTCCATCTTCCATCTTCTATTTTCCACCTTCCATCTTCCATCTTCCATCTTCCATCTATCTTCCATCTTCCATCTTCCATCTTCCATCTTCCATCTTCCATCTTCCATTTTCCATCTTCCATTTTCCATCTTCCATCTTCTATCTTCCATCTTCCATCTTCCATTTTCCATCTTCCATTTTCCATCTTCCATTTTCCATTTTCCATCTTCCATCTTCCATCTTCCATCTTCCATCTTCCATCTTCCACCTTCCATCTTCCATCTTCCATCTTCCATCTTCCATCTTCCACCTTCCATCTTCCATCTTCCATCTTCCATCTTCCATCTTCCATCTTCCATCTTCCATCTTCCATCTTTGTCACAGGATCGAAGGACTCGAGGAAAGATTGCACTATCGATCAGTACAAGGCGCTTTTATACTTCCAGAGTACATCAGGTAACCAGGTTTATCTTATCCCAAGGGAATAGACCCTTCTAGAAAATAGAATCACTCTGCGTATAACCACGCGAGGCTATTGGCTTTAAGAGATTACGGCAGGATTACGCTAGATATAGCGCACCAGTACATCCCAAGCCTGGTCGGTGATATAAGTATAATAGCAGGATAAACCAAAGGTTACTGGAAAATGGAGAATAGGAAACCAAATGAGATGAGATAAAAAGAGAAATGAAATAGGAAGGAAATAAGGAAAGGCCAAGTGGTGTAACGGGGTCGTACTCTCACACTTCCCCCCCTCAAAGCTGGGTGGTAGAAGTAACACCCTGCTTGACAAGGTAGTCATGCAGAGGACGACGGGCGTTACCCATGTCGGACTAAGGTACCCAGCTGTCCTCAGAAGGATCATAACCCTTCCAACGAATGAGAAGCTCCACGGTGCCATTCCGACGACGGCGGTGTGCAAGGACGGACTCGGCCTCGTACTCGGGTTCATTCTGGACAAGGACGGGCGGCGGCGGCGGCGGTTGGCGTCCGACGAAGATCGTGTTCGGATCCCGATAGGGCTTCAGAAGTAGAACATGGAAGGCGTTGTGAATCTTCTAGGTAGCTGGTAGGCGTAAGCGGAAGGTAACAGGAGTGACCTGTGTTTCAACGAGAAAAGGCCCGCAGAAGCGAGGTCGCAGTTTAGATGGGAGATGGCTGATGTCAAGGTTGCGGGTGTCAAGGAGCACCTGGTCTCCCACGGTAATGGTGTGGTCGTTGCGATGGCGATCGGCCTGGCGCTTCTGTTGCTGCTGAATGTCAAGGAGGAGCTTGTGGGTCCGATCCCAAAGCTGATGCATAGTTGTGATGAAGTCGTGTGCTGGTTGGACTGTTGCGGATGTTGTCGGTTTTTGTGGTGTAAGTGGGTGGCGTCCGTAGCAGAGGAAGAACGGCGTCTATCCAGTAGCGGCATGTGTAGCGTTGTTGTAAGCAAACTCTAGAACGGGCAGGTGCAGGTCCCATTTGGAGATCTCGTCCTTGCAGGCTGCTCGGAGGAGTTGCTCAACAATTTGGTTGAGGCTCTCGGTCTGTCCGTCTGTCTGCGGATGGTAAGCGGATGACATGGCGAGTTTGGTCCCGAGTAGAGACATGAGTTCCTTCCAGAAATTGCTGGTGAACTTGGGGTCTCGGTCGGAGATAAGTGTGGTTGGAATGCCATGTTCTGAGATGATGTAACGAACAAATAGTTGTGCTCTCTCCTCGGTGCGTGCTGTCGTGTGTGTCGGAATGAAGTGTCCCATTTTGGAGAACTTGTCGATGACGACAAGGATTGCGTCATGACCGCTGGTGGTAGGTGGTAACCCGGTGATGAAGTCCAGGCTAACCACTTGCCATGGCTGTTCTGGGACAGGAAGATGCTGCAGTAGTCCCGTCTTTTTCTGTTTGCTGCTCTTCATCCGCTGACATGTATCACACGAGGTGACAAACTTCTGAACATCCTCTGCCAAGTGGGGCCAGTAGTAGTGTTTTGCAATACCGGTCAGCGTCTTGTTGCTACCGAAGTGTCCGGCGTAGAGGACGTCGTGGTATTCTTCGAGTAGTAACTGTCGCAAAGGAGGGTAATTGGGTACCCAGATTTTCGTTGATCCTTTCCGGTACGCGATGTCAGTGTCCCACTGTAGCAGATGTCGCTTTTCAGCCAAGGGGATTTCGGGGTCGATGGCGTACCCGTGTGTGAAGATTCCCTTGAGTAGTGGATTCATCCTTTCGATCTGAATAGCGGCAACGTGTGCAGGCCGGCTGAGAGCGTCTGCTTTGTTTTTGTGGCCGGGCTTGTACACGATGTCGTAGTGGAAGTGTGTCTCGAGGAAGTCGATCCACCAGACCTGCCGCCTGGAAAGGTTGGGTTGTGTCTTCAAATATTTCAGGCTGCAGTGGTCGGTGTAGACGGTTGTTCTTCGTCCTTCGAGATAACATCTCCACCCTTTGAAGGCGATGACGATGGCAAGGGCCTCTTCGTCGTGTATCGGGTAGTTTAGTTCTGCCCCATGCAGTTTCTTGCTGAGGTAGGCGATTGGTTGCAGTCCATTCCCCTGGTCTTGCATCAAGACTGCTCCCACTGCCTGGTCGCTGGCGTCAGCTTCGATAACGTAGTCACGTTCGGGATCTGGCAAGATGAGTACTGGTGCGGACGTGAGTGCTTGTTTCAGCTGCTCCACGGCTTCCTGGTGCTTCGGCTCCCATTTGTAGGGCGTGTTCTTCTTCAGCAGATTCGTGAGTGGTGCTGCGAGTTTCGCATACTGTGGCACGAACCTGTTGTAGTAATTAGCGAAGTCTAGGAACTGCTGCAACTCCTTCACGTTCTCAGGTGTCTTCCACGTACGTACGGCTTCGATTTTCTTGGGGTCGACGTGAACTCCTTGAGCGCTCACCATGTGCCCTAGGAACTGGACCTTCTCAAGGGCAAATTCGCTCTTGGACAATTTGACGTAGAACCGTTCTCGTCGAAGAATTTCGAAGACGCGTCGCAGGTGTTCGACGTGCTGCTTCATGTCGCGTGAGTAGATGAGGATGTCGTCCAGGTACACCACCACGCACTCGTCCAAAAGTGGTCGTAGAATGTGGTTTATTTCGGCTTGGAACGTTGCCGGTGCGTTGGTGAGTCCGAACGGCATTACCAAATACTCGTACGATCCATACCAAGTTCGGAAAGCAGTTTTGTAGATAGAGTTGTCTGCCATCCGTATCTGCCAGTATCCGGACCGCAGATCCAGTTTGGAAATTACCGTGGCTCCCCGAAGCTGGTCAAGCAAGTCATCGATTCGTGGAATCGGGTACTTGTTCTTAATAGTCTGCTTGTTGAGAGCTCGGTAGTCGATGCACATGCGCAGGCTTCCGTCCGGTTTCGGTGTGAAGAGTACTGGGGCACCGTATGGCGAAGTGGATGGTCGGATGAGTCCTTTGGCTAGGAGATATTCGATCTGTTTTTTCATATCGGTCGGCTCCGTAGGGCTGAGCCGGTATGGTGCTCGGAAGGTCGGCTTCGAACCCGGTTCCTCCACGATCTCGTGTTGATGTGTTCGGTATGGCGGTAGCTCGTTCGGAAGGTCGTCAGGAAGAATGTCCTGGAACTCCTTCAATAATTCCTTGATCTTTCCCGGAGGTTCCGAGGTCTTCTCCCCGTCGTTCTCCTCCTCTGTTGCTATCGCCAGGAACCCGGTGTTGGTTCGCTTCACGTCCTTCTCGAATCGTGCGAGTGTCTCCACTAGGATATCTCCTGTATCATCCCAGTTGGGTAGCTGTACTCTCCGTCCATTGTTGTAGATGCTTGCGGTGCGGTTCACCTAGTTGATCTCGGGGTTGAATCTTTTTAGGAAGTCTCGCTCGAAGATCAAGTCAAGCCCTTTGATGTTGGTGATGGGGAGTGCAGGTCTCCAGCGCAGTGGTCCAATTTGTAGATGTAGCACTGCTTCCCCGTGTACTGGTAACTTGCTGCCGTCCACCATCGTTGCAGAAAATCTTGAAGGCTTGTACTCTTCCCGAAGTCGGTCAATTACTGCCTTGTCACAGACGGTGTGTGATGCTCCGCTGTCCACGAGTGCTTGGAGGCGTCGTCCTTTGCAGATGACCTCGAGCACGAGGGGCAGGCGTTGCTCGGTGTACCCAAAGATAGTTTCATTGATTGGGTCATAGGGCACATCCCAATATTCCGTACACACCTTTGTGTTGCTATCTACTCCTGAGCTGGCAGCTGGCCGAGGCTGCTTGGAGAACGGCTCTTCTCCAGGGCCAGGAGTTTCCTTGACGACTGTGCGCGTCACTGATGCCGAAGAACTGGATGCATCCGGAGGAGGAGTTCGGGGTTTTTGCAGCTTCTTGTAGACCCCCAGCTTCCTCTTGAGCTGCTTCAGCTCCACTGACGTCTTCCCTGGGGAACGGGTAGTCGTTGTGGGCTGGTGTCGGGAAAGGACGTTGACTCCATGGAAAGGTCGGCTTCTTTCCACACTCCTTAATTTTTCCCCAAGTTGTCCGGTACCGGTATAATCTCCACAGCTTTCTGCTTCTTCTGGAGTCCTTCCCGAATTTTCTCCAAGGCTCTAGCCCCTCGAGAATCATAAGTTTTCATTAAAGCATCTTTATAGGATAGCTTTAACGATCCTTATAATTTCTTGGGTCTTCAAGGAGTTTCCTCGTCTCGGCAGAGTCTTTTTTCGCGGAGTTGTATTTTTCCTCGGCGATTTTCCCTGGCGAAGACTGGTCGTGGGGTGGAGATTTTCCCCCATCATTTTCTCCTTCTCGCGTCGAATCAGCTTCGTCGAAGTTGATTTTTCTGGCATCCCGCGGCCGCTTTCGGATCTTTTTATTTTCGCCAGCTAGATCCGCAATCACTGGCGACTCCCGTTTTTTGTCTTCTGATTGGCCGAAGGAATTCCGCCACTGTTGCGTGCCCGATACTCAGCGCGTGCGGCTTTCATTTTGTTGCTGTCGAAGATTCGATGACCCGGCACCCCGCAAAAATCACACGTGTAGTTGGTGTTGTTTTTACGTGGCCGCCCCTCGAACCTATCGACTTCCATCGGGTCAGCGAACGTGGGGTGAGCCGAGCGGTCGCCCTGTTGCGTACTGCCGACGAGCGTCCGTCGTGTCCCGGCGTTGACCATGTCGAAGCGCTCCGCTGCCGAAACGACGTCACTGTAGTTCGCGTAGTTTGACGCTGCTACTTGTCGTTTGACTTCGGTCTTCAGCCCGGCGAGGTACGACTGTACTTTTTCCCCTTCGGTCAGATCGGGAATTCGGTTATAAAATTCCTCCATCTGCTGCGTGTACTGCGCTACACTCCCGAACTGTCGATGGCGATGATTTTTTTCCCGGGCAAGGAAACCCGAATTTATCGGCTCAAATCGTTTCTGCAGGTCGGTGCGGAACTGCTGCCACGTGGCTTCACCGTGGATGAAGGTACTGTTGCCGCCAATCCACTCGAGTGCCGGCCCTCGAGTGTCGCCGCGAGTCGTACACGTTGACCGTCCCAGACTGGCGAGCTCCATCCGACGGCTGCGAAGTAGATCTCCATCCCGACGATCCATCTGCGGGCGTCGGAGTTTCGATCGCTCGGATCGAACGGCTCAGGTGGGCGCGGTTTCGGAGCCTCGAGAAACTGCTGCGACTGCTGCGTCGTCGACGTTGTCGAGTCGTGCTGCGCTCCGGCGAGTCGAGTTACTCCCTCAAACTCGTTTCGCCACGCTTCGCGATCCGCTCGCATCTCCTCCTGAAGCGCTGTGATGCGCGCGAAGAGCTGTTGGGTAACCTCGGCGTTGTCGAAGGTTGCCATCCTGTTCAAAACACGCGCGGGGGGGGTGATTCGAAAAAATCGCGGGGTTGGTGCTTACCAGAATCGGCGTCGAATTGGTCACCCCTGGCGGTTTTTCGAGGCAGGTTTTCCCGCTGCTGCTGCTTTGTTGAGCGCGGCCGAGTGAGAAAAGCTCTGATTACCAAGTGTCACAGGATCGAATGACTCGAGGAAAGATTGCACTATCGATCAGTACAAGGCGCTTTTATACTTCCAGAGTACATCAGGTAACCAGGTTTATCTTATCCCAAGGGAATAGACCCTTCTAGAAAATAGAATCACTCTGCGTATAACCACGCAAGGCTATTGGCTTTTAAGGGATTACGGCAGGATTACGCTAGATATAGCGCACCAGTACATCCCAAGCCTGGTCGGTGATATAAGTATAATAGCAGGATAAACCAAAGGTTACTGGAAAATGGAGAATAGGAAACCAAATGAGATGAGATAAAAAGAGAAATGAAATAAGAAGGAAATAAGGAAAGGCCAAGTGGTGTAACGGGGTCGTACTCTCACAATCTTCCATCTTCCATCTTCCATCTTCCATCGTCCATCTTCTTCCATCTTCCATCTTCCATCTTCCTTCTATCTTCCATCTTCCATCTATCTTCCATCTTCCATCTATCATCCATCATCCATCCATCTTCCATCCATCTTCCATCTTCCATCTTCCATCGTCTTCCATCTTCCATCGTCTTCCATCTTCCATCGTCTTCCATCTTCCATCGTCCATCGAAGAAGTGCAGCACCAGCAGAGAGTTGAAAGATGGAGATGCATGTTGGGACTTTTGTGGCACGGCTTTTAACCTTCGGTATTATGTGAACCTCAAACGTGCACAAAATGTTATTGTGATCAATCCTTACGTTCGTTGTTTCTGGTACAAAATTTTAGTGATCAATCATTTTATTCTCCTACCCTTTTGTCACGGGCATGAGGCCAATGGCACATATTGTCAGAACTCAGCCATTAACCACTGAGTTAAAAGGGCTTATTAATAGTGGGTCAGTGCGCCCATAGCCCCCCAGGCTCTGCACCTGTGGCCCTTCCCGAGGATCTGCTCAAGGGTAACCGTTGCGGGTCTCTTGACACCCCCCCTTGCTGGGATATGCGGAGGACACGAGCACCTCTGCAGCGCTAGCATTGGAAATTGAACCTGAATCACCAACGCTCTGATACCATATCAAAACTCAGCCACTAACCACTGAGTTAAAAGGGCTTATAGCGAGTCAGTGCGCCCATAGCCCCCCAGGCTCTGCACCTGTGGCCCTTCCCGAAGATCTTCTCAAGCGTAACCCCAGCGGGTCTCTCGACACATATTACACGTAGGCACCCAAACAAATGGCAAATACGTAGACTCGGCCAGTCAAGCTTCCACTCCATGTACATGCTGTGTGTCATGAGGTGCCTGGTGCATGTGGCATCGGATTGTCATTGCTGCGAAATGAGTACTTGAAGCCTATGTACAGAGGGAAGGACAGAACCACACTTCAATGGCATGTTTGTCCTTTCCACCTTAGATCCGGGCGGCAAACACTAGCAAACGAGCACCAGGAGCATTTCCAGGCCTCCTCCCGAGGCACAAAGAAAGGGCGGCGGCGGCCGAGCCAAAACTCAAGGCTTGTGGCGATGCTTGCTTGGAGCCAGTGGTGATCATAGGGGAAGAAATCCTCATGAACAAGAGAACCATCCGCCTGCCATTCATAACTGGACCAAAGCAGCATAACACCGGAGATTGAAACTGACACGCAACAGGCAGTAAAACACTGCAGGACAGGAAAATGCTGGGACTTGACGTGTTGGTAGTCGTGCTGACAGGCAGCCTACCGCAAGAGAAGGGTAGGGTGAAGTGGCTGCAGCGATCGGAAGGCGTCAGATACGGCAGCCGTGACATCAACGAGGCAAGAGATCTGTGGATCGAACATGGATGTGTGAGAGAGAAAAATGAAGCAGATGGATTAAACATGTATGGACGAACATCACACACCAAGCATCAAGCATGACCCTACCTTCCTCTTATCATCGCACCTCCCATGGTCCCACCTCCCTATCTTCATATGGTCATACCTGTCTCTGGGGGAAGACCTCTGCAGCATTCTCTAGCACTGGGGAGGAGAGGGCGGCGCGGGGGCGGAGGCGGAAGGAGGAGAAGAAGCGCTCCTGGGGCACGCCGTGCTGAATCATGCTGCTCAAAAGCGCGCTGTAGCACATGAGTTGTAGCCTGGGAGGACGGAGGGGGGGGGAGGGAGGGGAGTATATTTTGTAGGAGCCAAAGATTGATGCTCTTGGGGCAAGCTGTGGTGCTCAGAACCGTGCTGTAGCACACCAGCTGAAGCCTAGGGGGACGGGGGGCGGGGAAGGGGAGGAGTCTATTTCTAAGGGGGGGGCAGACGGCACCTCAAAAATAGCGCTCTTGGCCCCGGCCGCAATGGATCATGGTGCGCAGGGAAGAGCTGTAGCACATTAGCTGAACCCTGGAGGGGGGGGAGAGGGGATGGCCGCCAGAATGGGGTTCTGAAAGTCAGAATGGGGCTCTGGCAGCCAGTGCATCCGACCGGAGTGTTTCCGACCAGAGTGCCCCGATTGGAGTGCTCCGACCGGAGTGCTTCCAACCAGAGTGCTTTCGACAAGAGTGCTTCCGACCGGAGTGCTTCCGACCGGAGTGCTTCCGACCGGAGTGCTTCCGACCGGAGTGCTTCCGACTGGAGTGCTCCTGACAGGAGTGCTCCGGACCGGAGTGCGTCCGACCGGAGTGCTTCCAACCGGAGTGTTTCCGACCGGAGTGCTCCCGACCGGAGTGCTTCCGACCGGAGTGCTTCCGACCAGGTGCTTCTGACCGGAGTGCTCCCGATAGGAGTGCTCCGGACCGGAATGCTTCCGACCGGAGTGCTCCGGATCGGAGTGCTCCCGACCGGAGTGCTTCCGACCGGAGAGCTTCCGACCGGAGTGCTTCCGACCGGAGTGCTTCCGACCGGAGTGTTTCCGACCGAAGTGCTTCCGACCGGAGTGCTTCCGACCGGAGTGCTTCCGACCGGAGTGATTCCGACCGGAATGCTTCCGACCGGAGTGCTCCCGACCGGAGTGTTTCCGACCGGAGTGTTTCCGACCGAAGTGCTTCCGACCGGAGTGCTTCCGACCGGAGTGCTTCCGACCGGAGTGCTTCCGACTGGAGTGCTTCCGACTGGAGTGCTTCCGACCGGAGTGTTTCGGACCGGAGTGCCCCCGACCAGAGTGCTTCCGACCGGAGTGCTTCCGACCGGAGTTCTCCGGACCGGAGTGCTCCCGACCGGAGTGCTCCCGACCGGAGTGCTTCCAACCGGAGTGCTTCCGACCGGAGTGCTTCCGACCGGAGTGCTCCCGACCGGAGTGCTTCCGAACGTAGTGCTTCCGACTGGAGTGCTTCCGACCGGAGTGTTTCGGACCAGAGTGCCCCCGACCAGAGTGCTTCCGACCGGAGTGCTTCCGACCGGAGTGATTCCGACCGGAGTGCTTCCGACCGGAGTTCTCCGGACCGGAGTGCTCCTGACCGGAGTGCTTCCGACCGGAGTGTTTCCGACCGAAGTGCTTCCGACCGGAGTGCTTCCAACCGGAGTGCTTCCGACCGGAGTGCTTCCGACCGGAGTGCTCCCGACCGGAGTGCTCCCGACCGTAGTGCTTCCGACTGGAGTGCTTCCGACCGGAGTGCTTCTGTCCGGAGTGCCCCCGACCAGAGTGCTTCCAACCGGAGTGCTTCCGACCGGAGTGCTCCCGACCGGAGTGCTTCCAACCTGAGTGCTTTCGACCGGAGTGCTTTCGACCGTAGTGCTTTCGACCGGTGTGCATTTGACCGGTGTGCTGACCAGTGTGTTTTCAGCCGGCAAGCTTTTAACTGGGGGCTCTGACCGCCAGAAAGGGTCTCTGACCGGCAGAATGGGGGCTCTGACCGCGAGAATGGGGACCCTGACCGCCAGAACGGGGGTTGTGACCGCCAGAAATGGGCCTCTGGCCGCCAGAATGGGGGCTTTGACCGCCAGAATGGGCCCCCTGACCGCCAGAACGGGGGCTCTGACCGCCAGAATGGGGGCTCTGACCGCCAGAATGGGGGCTCTGACCGCCAGAATGGGGGCTCTGACCGCCAGAATGGGGGCTTTGATCGCCAGAATTGCGGCCCTGACCGCCAGAGCGGGGGCTCTGACCGTCAGAATGGGGGCTCTGACCGCCAGAATGGGGATTGTGACCGCCAGAATGGATGGGCAAAAGTCGAGTCAAGCATTTTCCAGGGGAGGGTGACTGGTTACTCGGAATAACCGAGTCAGGTAATCGAGTCAAGTAATTACTCGCCTCCAGTGCCCATGCTGAAGGGGTAGGGGAAAATGGAAAGGCGAGGAACAGAAAGGGGAGCTGAAAGGAGTGAAAAGCCATGCTCCTCTTCCATTCCTCATCCAGGCAGGCTGTGCTGAATCATGGTGAAAAGGAGCAATCTGTGGCACATGAGTTGAAGCCTGGGGTTGGGGGGGGGTGCGAAAAAAGAGAGGAGGGGAGTATGGAGAGAGGGAGTCGTCCTCAACGGATTAGCCTGCCGCTGTGACTCACGTGGTTGAGGAAAGAACAGGGGCACGGCCAGGGATAAGGGGGAGGGACTGGGAGCGCACAGATGGAGACCTTGGGGCAATACGTCCCCCAACACCCCATCCTCCCCCCCAATCTTCCCCCCCCCATTTCCCCCACCTTTCCCCCCCTCCCCCCCACTCTTCCCCCCCCCTTTCCCCCACCTTCCCACCCCTCCCCCCCTCCCCCCCCCCCCCCCCAGCACACACCCACCCGTGTGTGTGGCCCACCTGGCGTTTCTGCTCTGCGCTGCCCTCGGTGGCTTGGGGCGCACGCGCGTCTTGGTATCCACCACCATCACCCGCCACCTGCTCTCGTCCTTCCTGCCGCCCTCCCTGCCCCCCTCCCTGGCCCCCTCCCTGGCCCCCTCCCTGCGCCCCTCCAGGCATGGGCTTCTGGCAATATCTGGTTGTGACGCATTACGCATGGATGCATCGGGTGGCTGAGAGTGCGACTGCTGCGAGTATGTACAATATTCCACGCGCTCTGAATCTACTGGCTGTGAGTCCAACGGATTTGATCCACCTGCTGTTCGCTCCTCCGTGCTCTGCTGCATCTCCACTCGCCCATCTTCTCTCCCACCTTCGCCCATGCACCCAGCTTTCCTCTTGCTCGGACTCGTTTGACTTCTTTGACTAGACTGACTCGCCGGACTTGCTTGCGTTGATTGACTACCGCCCACACCCCCAGAACAATCTGCTGCGCTGCTGCTTCCCGCCCTTCCTGCCCTGCCCTCTCTGCCCTCCGCTGCAGTGGTAGCAGGCACGAGGCGCAGCTCGTCAATGACCCCCACCATCCACACACCGCGCACCATGCCTAGGCTGGAGGTGGTGGACGGTTGGAGATAAAAGGAAGGAAGGAGGGCGGTTAGAACAGCGAATTCAGGCACTGAATGGCCCACCATCCGCTCACCGCGCACCATGCCTAGGCTGGAGGTGGTGGGGGCAAGCAGAGAGGAGAAGAATACGATGAGCCGCACGCAGAAAGGAATGGCAATCAGGCACCGGACAGGACAGCCGGGCGCGCACTCTCCATGTTGCTTCGTATAGGGACTTGGCTCAGAACAGGCGGAGACGCGGCACGCACGCCCTGAGGGCGGTCGAGGACGCCCTGAGGGCGGTCGAGGACGCCCTGAGGGCGGTCCCACTCTGGCAGTTGTGTGAAGCGGAGGACGTGAGACGGTGGACCGCGGTGCCAGGCTGCACGGCTTTTGAAGCGGCTCAAAAGGGTGGAACGAGGTGCCAGGCTGCACGGCGGGGCGGAAGGCCAGAGGGAAGGCCAGAGGGGCTCACACAAAGACTTCACGAGTTAAGCCCCAGGCATCGCCACCATGGCACCCGGGGTCTCCCATTGCCGCATGAGCATCCCCACCCGCCCCCGTCTCCCCAGCCCCGTTCCCCATGCGCGCCAACGCCAGCACTCTAGCAGCGGCGCCCATCATCCTGACCGCCCACACGTCCTCTCTGGTCGCCACGGCCACCTCCACCACCTCCACCACCTCCCTCTCGAGGGCCGCGTGCCGCTCTGACCCTGCGCGCATGGCTGCTGTGGGGGGGGGCGCGCCGCGCGAGAGGGAGAAAAGCACACGCTGCTCGCACCACTCCTGGAGGGATGGGGGGAGGGATGGGGCGTGTGTGCCGCTGCTGAAGAGTGCCGCGTGTTTGAGCGCCGCGTGTTTGAACGCCCCAGGCTAGAATAGCAAAGGTGGGCCCAACTTGAATAGGGTTTGCTATTTTAGTCAAGGGCTTTAACGCCGCATGTTTGAACGCAGCGCGCTCCAGAGAGGAGCGAGGGACGTGGGGGTTTAAGGTTCAACCTTAACAGGGGTTGGACCTGGGGGTGTAGGGTTCAACCTTAACAAGGGTTGGACGTGGGGGTTTAAGGTTCAACCTTAACAGGGGTTGGACGTGGGGGTTTAAGGTTCAACCTTAAGGGCGTGTCCTAAGCGTTCATTTTGGGGAAATGACATGGGATTGACATCAAGCGGTACTGTTCGGATGACTGTACCGAAAATAGAACAAAACCGGCAATGCGTCCAATAAGAGACGAGGCCATCCTCGAGGACTGGCAATTTTCGCCGCACGACAAATGTTTCCTCCGTGCGACCGGCAACAGAATCTGACGAATCGCTTGACGAGGGAAAAGAGGAGCGCCAGCTGAGAAATTTCACGTTTTTCACACGTACTGTTGCGCGTACGCTGCACATCCCCTTCGGGCGAACCCTGTAGTGTTTACAAAAATAGTGTGGTTACAAGCGCTTTTCGGGTAACTGAATGGCCTGGTGAATTGAATATGAACGCCTATGACACGCCCTAACAGGGGTTGGGGTCGGGGGGGCAAGGGCGGGGACAAGTGCAGATAGGACATGCGTGTCGCGGATGCGTGCGTACCGCGTCGGTGATATCCGTCACGGACAGCCGTTGATTCCGCTTGCAATCCAAAGGCCGGCGTGCCGTGTGCCTTCCCCGAAACCCCAGCGCGTCTATTCCCGTTCCCCCCGCCTCGATTCCCGTCTCCTGCTCCTCCGAACACCCATCAACGGCCCCAGCAGAGCCACGTGTCCCTTCGCCTCGCTCAGCCGTCCACAGCACATCGCGGCACGCCAGGTCTTCAATGTCAGCCAAACCGATCGTCACCGTTGATGCCTCCGGCCCCATCCAAGCCTGCACCCGCGCGCTCTCCGCCGCGCTTTCCGCGGACTCGCTCCGGCCCTCCTGCCGCGCATCATTCCTCGTTTGCGCGGCTTCCTTCAGTAACTCCGCTCCCGGGTGTTCCCCCACTACATCCGCGGAAATACCCGCGCGCGCAGATTTCCGCTCAGCCGCCTCCCGCTCGGCGGCGGCAACTGCCGCCTCGAGAAGCGCGAACTCATCGTCGGGCAGAAGAAGTTTCTCGTGAGAATGCTCGACACTTGGGGCACTTGGGGTGCTAAAAAATATTTCATTCTGGCGTGCGAACATGACGGCGCGCAAGGAGGCTGATTCGTGAAAGACTCTTGCTCCCGTCCCGAAAGCACAGGATTTCGCGCTATCGAAGCCGCCCTTTCTCAGCCACAGCAACTTGGCAGGGTCCGCTAGCACTACCGATCATACTGCTGGCAGCAAGCGATCCCCACTTACTCATTCCATTTTTTTCTAGTAGTGCTACCGTGCAATCAGATTTCGTCGCAGAGGGCGGCTAAACACGGGAGAGCAGCTGCGTCACAGAAGAATGACATGCTATGTTGTGCGCTGCAGAGCACGGCTAAAAAGCACAGCTAACGAGGGCGGGGGCTAAATGGCGGAAGAACCGGCAGTTCACTCTGCTGGAAGAAAATGGGAGGATGAACCTAACTAAAGTGGCAGCAGAGTAGAGGAAATGCAGATCCGAATCTGACTGGCGGCGATGGCAGCCGGCGTCACCAACAAGCTAACTTCTGTGCCCTAGGCCCGAAGCTCGCTTGATGGTTCAGGTCAGGTTGGGAGAACTGACATGCAGAAAGTGCACCCATGGTGCCAGCTCCGTTAGCTCTATAATCCGCCTCATTTGGTTGAGCTGTATGCAGTGGCGCACGCACGCTGTGGCGCACGCATGCAGTGTCAAATCAGTCTGAAGCGAATACAAGAGACCTCCCCCAATCGAACAACCGTGCCACCCATGCGCAGCGAGCCTGGGATTGGAGGCAAATGCCACATTTTCCATTCAAATGGAACCAATAACAATCTGCCACATGGCTTTGAGAGATTAGCTCTAGAAGCTGGACGCGTCTACGCGAGAAGCAATTGCAATTCGATGTTCTGAAGCTTCCAAAAGGAATATTTCATTGTACACTTCATTCTTCTTTGGATCGCGATATTTACAGGAGCCCTATGAATTTCACAAAAATACAATAAAAACATGTCAACATTCCCTACGTGCGTCACCTGGTTTTGTAGAACCCTTGAAGCGCGAAATAAGGGAATCAGCATTGTATATTTGCCCATTTGTGGTAATTTAGCAATGCATGAATCAGAGACAACCCTAGGATTGCACTCAAACCAATCGGACTAGAAATGCATGGTTTCACTTGTGTTTTTTGCTGCGTTTTATTTTGCGAATAGGTTATAACAAAGCTTTTGTGTGACATAAGTCTTTTATATACCACGTGGATTCGACTCAGTATCTGTGATCCCAACAAGCAAACATGCAGCTATTACAATGCATAACCGTTTTTCACGTGAGAGTCTGTTCTGCCCTAGGTTTTGACATTTCAGAAAACTAGAGCAGGCCGTGTGGTAGATTCGGGCTCTCCAAAGCCAAATAAGGTATTGCATGATTAGTTTTGGTGCATTAATTTTGTCTCCATCCCTTGTGCAAACTAAAGTATTTATTCGATTACTTGTTTCAAAACTTGAGTTGGAGTGGCTTGAAACGACAGAGTTTGGATATAGAATACCCACTCATGAAACCTTATGTAAGTGTGGGTGGTTTTGTATTGACCGTACAGACCTTGGAGACACGAGACGAATACATCTCATCCTGCTTTGGGTCGCGAGTTTCTTAGGAGCCCTACAAATTTTACGAAAATACAATAGAATATGACAACATTCCCTGCTTGTATCACCTGATTGTGCCCCCAAAGCGCGACATGAGTGTGGTAATTTAGCAATGCACCAATCAGAGACGGCCCTATGATTGCACTCAGACCAGTTGGAGTGGCAATGTCTGATTGCGCTTGTGCGATTGCATTACGTTTCATGAATAGGTTGCAACAAAGCTTTAGCATGACATGAGATTGTTAAAACTATGTGCTTCGCCATAGGTTCTATGATCCCAACTAGCAAACATGCCTCCATTTCTATTCATAACCGATTCTCATTTGTAGTCCGGTTCCCCAGGTTTTGACCTTTCGGGGAACTGGAGCGAGCCACGTGGTAGATTCAGATTTTACAAAGGCAGAAGAAGTGTATTCTTCAACACAGAGCTCTCCACCTCGCACCATGGGATGCCATGTCAGCCACACAGTTTGCAAGCTTTGTTCCATGCAACCAGCTTGACATGCAAAATGGTTTCCCTCCACCAATCGAGGGACCTACCGAATGAGCCGATCTTTTGTTCATGCAGGCTATGGTGGCTGTGGCTGTACGAATGTTCTGCACAAAACGATTTGCCCAGATCTCAAACGTGCCAGCATGGCAAGACCACCTCCTCAACATCCACCTCATCACATCACATCATTGCCAATTTTGTCCTCGCATGCTCACTGTTTTCACGTATGTGATCGCGAGAGATCTCCCCTATCCTGGCTCGCAGAACCGATCAGGACTTTTGGTTCAAGGGTAATTAGCCGAATCCGGAGTACTAAAGGCTGAATATACTAGGGAAGGGATCCCTGGAATATAGGCTAGTGGTGAGAGTGGAGGTTGGGTGGGTAGGGGGTAGTGTGGTTCAGACGAGAAGAATTTGCGGAGACCCAACTCGGACAACCCCACCACCAGCACACAACCCCACCACAGTCGAGACCATCCCCTCTCCCCTCCTCGCTGTCTCTCCCCCATTCATCACCTTATGTTCCAGATCTCCTTGTAAGGTGTTTATCCCTGTGCGGCTCATCCTTAGCGAACCAAGTGGAGCGATTACATAACTCTGACAGAGTAGCTTTCAACCCAATTCCGGCTTAAACAGAAATCGAAGTTCCCCCCAAATAAGGACGAACCGAAAGAGGGGGTGGGGGTTCCGAAAATCCTTTGCGTAAGCCCTGGATCTGACGGTTCTTCGAAGCTCTAGCGGCGTGGGACAGCATCACCGCATTCGTCGACATCGGATCTCACCGGCGTGTCAGTTTCCACATCTGTTGGAAGGGCACACGGTTTTTTCCCCATGTTTGCTTTCATTCTGCCCGCGTGCAGCAAGGGAAGGGACACTCTTTCCTCCAAACCAAAGCTCTGCCATTTCTCAATGCCTCAATTCTCGCTGCCCGTTCCATTCCGTTCCAAACCAGCCCCTCCAACAGCAGCTGTGAGAATTTGTCATCTTTCCGTTTCCTCTTGACTGCGTTGCTCTTTTCCGAAAATCGTATTGCCGAAACAGTCTTTCACGAAAAGCTCTCCTCTCCAGCTCAGCCACAGATTTTTCGCGCCCCAATTTCAACCTTCACCCCATTTGACATTCACCGCTTTCAATCATTCATCCCTTGCATCCCCTTCATCCCGCCCACGCCATGGCCCTTCTTCCTGTCCCCTCCTTGCTTCCCTTATCCTGTGGTCATTCCATTCTCTCCCGACATTGAGCTTGCACATGCATCCACCGTTCCTCGCCACACAGCCGCACACAACTTGCCAACAATCTGCCCCTTCCACAGTGCACCACTTCTGCCATTGATGCTGCTCTGCTCCGTGGCCCTTGGGGCCCTTCCTTCCCCACCCGACCCGACCATCTCAAATGTGTGAGCAATTCGCATATGCTCCCATTCGCGTCCGCGCCAATTCGTGCATATCGATTACGCTCTCCACCTTTTCAAGTTGAAGCGCGGCCGTCTTATCGCCATCATTCGAAGCGACTTTAGAAGCGAGAACTCGGCCTCAGCTCCCACAATCTCCCGATACGCGTTGAAAGTTCCCAACATCCACTTTACCTCGCAACGCAATAGCTCTTTCGTCATACAAACCGATTCGCCTGTGCGATGCTCCACCCGTCATCCGCGTTTCTGCCGGTGACATTCTGATCGACATTGCGTTTTTAGGCGTCTCGCAACTCGCATCTCCTTCGTATCCTCTCCCCAAGTCGTCTCGCTGGCAGTGACCTCGCCAAGTCAGCTAACTGAATCGCGGCTGTTTCTAGATCGGCCCGGGTTATTTTGCACGAACAGTCTAAGCGAAGCCTTGGGCGGAGCGAATCCGAATTCATAGTAGTGGAAGCCACTCGGGTCTCGGGTGCGTCGCAGGGCGAAACTCAGTCGCTCACGCGGAGCGCGGGCGGCCGACAGCGACGGTTGCGTCGGGCGACGACGGCGCCTCACAGCCAACCGGCTCGCTACCACGGGGGGAGGAAAGGCGAGACGAGGGAACGACGAGCGAGTCGAGCGGCGAAATCGCGTCGGAGGGTCATTCGCACGAGGCGATGCGATGATCGCTGCGACCCGCTTCGGCAGTACCGGCGACGCTGCGGCGATCATGGCGGCGGGAAACGCGGCGACGGTAGCGGCGGCTTTTGGCGGCCGAGCAGCGCGCGATGACCGAGCAGATGCAGCAGAGGCACTCGCGGCGGCGGTGGGCTCCGACTTCCAGCCGTCGCCATTGCCGCGATCGGCGGAACCGGAGGCGCCGCAAGGAGCGCGCGAGCCGACGGGGGACAGCGCGATCGGCGGGGAGGTCGGGGCGACGGGGAGCTACTCCCGCTGGTGGTCGCCCGAGGTAAGGAATGCCCCTCTCCCGCGGCCCAGGTAACGACTGACCCTCTCCCTCGCCCGACGTAACGTCCCATTCTCGCGCCCCCTTATTTTAGCCCCCCGCCCCCTCCCCCCCTCCATTTCCCCCTCCCTTCCCCCTTCCCCCTTCCCCCTTCCCCTCTTCCCATCAGCGCCCACAGAAGGATCTGATCCCATTGGACCCCTGAGCGCGGCTACGGCACGCGGCGCTGCGGCGTGGTAGATGCGTCCTTTGGATCGTCCTCGGGCTTATCTCGCACCTCCCATCCTCATTCTCCGATCCCCATCGCCCCGCCATGGACCACCTCCCGTACTTCCCTCCTCCTCACCCCCTCCCATTCCCTTACCCTTGTAACCTCCCCCCCCCCCACCCCCCCACCCACCCAACACACACACACGCGCGCAGGAGGATCTGATTCTATTGGACCACGTGCGCATCGGCGGCACGCGGCTCTGCCACTGGGGCAGCGTGCTCAAGGTGTCCCTTGAGCCCCCAACCGTCCGCCAATAGCCGTCCCCTCAACCTCCCCCATCCCCTCACTCTCACCCTCCCCCCCCGTCCCCTCACTCTCAACCCCCCCCCCCCCCATCCCCTCACTCTCACCCTCCCCCCCCCGTCCCCTCACTCTCACCCCCCCCCCCCCCCATCCCCTCACTCTCACCCTCCCCCCCCCGTCCCCTCACTCTCACCCCCCCCCCCCATCCCCTCACTCTCACCCTCCCCCCCCCCCTCACCCCCTCCTCTCCCCTTCGCCTTCCCCCTCGCAGGAGGATCTGACTCTATTGGACCACGTGCGCAGCTACGGCACGCGGCACTGGGGCGTGCTCAAGGCGTCGGGGCGCCTGCCGCACCGCGACAACAAGGCGTGTTGCAACCGATTCATCCTCCTTAAGAAGTAATCCGCTGCTGCACGCTTTCAGCCCCCTGGCTGTGCCGTGCGTGATGTCCAACGCACCCTCTTCCGTGCCGTGCCTTCGCTCTCAAGCTCTCGGATCTGCTGGTTCCAAAACGCTTGCCTTCAGCCCCTTGCATGTGCCCTCCTGCGACCTCGTCTCGTCTCCGGCCTCTTCTTCCTCACCCTTCTGCTCTCCCTTGGCGTCTCCGGCCTCTTCTTCCTCACCCTTCTGCTCTCCCTTGGCGTCTCTCACTCATCTTGCCCCCCGTCCTCCGCCCCATCTCTCCCGGCAGGCGCTACCTGGATCAAGAGGGTGCGCCAGTCTACCACGGGCTCACGCCCGGCGTTTCCCATGGGCTCACCCCAGCCCTCCGATCTGCGCACAGCCAATCCGAGCTGTCCATTCTCTCCCCCACGTCCCCCCAAGGCACCTCCGCCACCACCGCCACCGCCCTCTCTTCCCCCGCCGCCATCACCAGCCACCACTGCCACCCCGCGCACCAGTTTCCGCACCACCATCACCTTCCCCCCCAACCCTCCCCTCAACAGCCTTTATCTACCCAGCAACCTCGTCACGGTTACCTGGTTACCAGCCCAACCCAAGCCACGGCTGCAGCAGCCGCCGTTGCTGGTGCTGCTGGAGGCTCTGCTGCCACTAGTGCTGGCGGCAATGCTGTGAAACCCAGCCGCACCACCACTGCCGCCGCTGCTTCTGCCGCCGCAGTTTCTGCTGCCGCTGCTTCTGCTTCTGCTTCTGCGGCTGCTGCTGCTGGCGTTGGTGGATTCATGTTGCCGGGTGGCTTAAGTGCGACGTTTAGTAAATACCAGGAGGCGGTGAAGGAGGAGGTGCTGTGCGGGCTGGCGCTGACGGCGGGAGGGAAGTGGGAGGAGATGGATGGGGGGATGCTGGGTGGGGAGATGGTGGATGGGGGGATGCTGGGTGGGGAGATGGTGGATGGGGGGATGCTGGGTGGGGGGATGGTGGATGGGGGGACGGTGGATGGTGAGGCGGATGCTTTGCTGAGGGCGTATGGTGTGGGCGATGGCATGGCGGGCATTGAAGGGATCGTGGATGAAGGTATGGACGGCATGGGCGGCATGGGCGGCATGGGCGGCATGGGCGGCATGATGGAGATGGATGGCGGTATGGAAATGGATATGCATGGCATGGGTGGTGCACATGGCATGGTCAAGTCCATGGATGGGGTACCGTCAGCGCCACATGGCATGCAAACGGGTGGCAGTCACGCCACGTGTCGCCCTGCTATTGGAGGCAATGGCAGCCCCACGGCGGCGGCAGCTGTCACCATGCATGGAGCAGGGAGCACGGGGAGGGCGATCACGAGTCCCCCCGGGGTTGTGGGCGTGCATGCATGGGCGGTGGAGCGGGCGATAAGAGACGGGCTGCGGCCGCACGCGTCCACTTCCTTCAAGGCCGCTGCCAGGTATGCTGTCGGCCCTCGTCTCCCCTCTTCTCTTTCCTGCCCCTCCTCGCATGCGTGGGCGGTGGAGCGGGCGATAAGGGAGGGGTTGCGGCCCCACGCGTCCACTTCCTTCAAGACCGCTGCCAGGTATCACGCTGCCCTCCCCTTCCTCCCTCCTCCCCTTCCTCCCCCCTCCCCTTTCCTCCTTCCGCCTGGGAGATAAGAGAAGGGCTCCGCCGTACGCTTCCTTCAAGACTGATGCCAGGTGTCACGCCGACCTCCGCTCCCTCCCTTTTCCCCACCCGCTTCCCTCTCCGCCTCACCCCACCGCCCACCAGGAGGAAGGGCTCTCCGCTCTGCTCGTCGCTGTCCGGGTCCCCTCAGGCCTCCCACGACCCCGCCTTCATTCGCCGAATGGCCGATTTTTTCCGCCTGCCCATGCCCCCGCCTGCTGCTGCTGCCACCATTGCTGCTGCAGCCGCTGCTGCTGATGCTGGTGGTGCTTCGTCTGCTGCCGCCGCTGCCGTGGCGATTGCTGCTACTGCTGGTGGAGATGCTCCTTCCCCTTCTGCTGCTGCTGCTTCTGCTCCCACCACCTCTGCAAGTGGCGGTCAAAGCTCACCTGAGAATTCACCTGGTGGGGCACGTGAGAGCCGTGCAACAGTGGAGGTAAAGGCAGCAGCATTGGAGCAGCAGCAGCACGGGAAGTCACAACAGGAGCAGGAGCAGGAGCAGGAGGGGGGGGAGGAGGAGGAGGATGAGGAGGAGCAAGCAGCAATGAATCTGGACAGGCTCCACATCAACAGAGGAGGCGGTGGCACCCGTTGCCAAGCTGCTGCGGGCAACGCTCAAGGGAATGGTGCGGGGAGTGATGTGGGCTCAGCAAAGCCTGCTACAGCTGAACCTGCCACCACCCGCCTGGTGCCTCAGCCCCAGCCCCAGCAGGCTCACCTGCCTCAGCAGCCCCAGCAGGCTCACAACCCTGCTGGGAAATTCGAATCCCATACGTACTCTCAACCCCCCTCTGATTCCTTCGCTCCCGCCCTCTCTGTTCCGACTTCGGTTCAAAACGAGCTGACGGCACGCCTGTTCGATGCCCTCAGCCAATCACCACCTTCCGCAGAAACTTTTTCAGCTGCCCAGAGGATGAGTCAGGCACTGCAAGCAGCAGCAGGGCCAGGTGGAATGGATGCAACTGCTTCATCTGCTGCTGCTGCTACACGTGCTGCTACTGCATTTGCTGTACATACCACAACAGTGGCTGCAACTGCTATGGCTGCTGCTGCTGCTACAGCCGCTGCAGTGCCTTCAGCTGTTTCTCCCTCTGCTTCCCACGTGGTTGCCGCCTCGCCCTTCTCTCAAACCACATCCTCACCCACACTCGGCTCTTCCTCACACCTTCACTCACTCCCTCACTCACACTCGCTCACCCATTCTCACTCACTCTCCCATTCACACTCATTCTCTCACTCACACTCGCTCTCCCACTCACACTCGCTCTCCCACTCACACTCGCTCTCCCACTCGCTCTCCCACTCCCCCTCACTCCATCGCTTCCCCAGTCAGGTATCTCTCTCCACCTCTCCTCACCACTCTCACTCCTTCCTCTCCTCCTCCCTTCCCGTCCATTCCCCTCTCTCCAAGCTGCACCCGCACCAGCTAGAGTTGCAGCACCAGCAGCTACAGCAGCACCAGTTACAGCAGCATCAGATACAGCAGCAGCAGCTGCACCTGCAGCACTTGCAGCAGCAGAAGCTACAGCAGCAGCATCTGCAGCAGCAGCGGCAGCTGCAGCGGCTACAAGTGGAGGAGCAGCAGGCCCTGCTTTTCGCTGCTGCCAACACCAGCAGCAGCAGCACCTTCCAAGCACCGTTCCACAGCATCCCTCCGTCTGCCGCTGCAGCAGGAGCAAGAGCAGTGCCTGTGCCGCGTGCGCTCTTCTTCTCCTCCCCCCGCCCCATCCCTGTGTACCAGCAGATCATGGTGCCCCGTGGTGTCATGCCCCCCAACCATGCCATGCTGCCCGACCAGGCGATGCTGCAACAGGGCATGGTACCGCACCAAGCAATGCTGCTAAACCAGGCTATGCTGCAAAGCCAAGGCTTGATGGCACAGCAAGGCCTGATGGCTCAGCAAGGTATACTCACACCGCAAGGCATGCTGCCGAACCAGGCAATGGTGCTGCAGCAAGGAATGGGCATGCAAAACCAAGCCATGCTCGCATCCATGCTGTCTCCCACTCCCTCAAGTGCTGCTGCTGCTGCTGCAGGAGCAGCTGCTCTTACTGCTTCTGGTTGTGCTGATACTGCTGCTGCTGCTGCTGATGCCAGAGCTGCCTCTCACAACACCGCCTCCTCTCTCCCCTCCTGGTGGCGGGAGAGTCTCCCCTTAATCCCCCCCCCCTCCATGCATTCACACGTTGCCATGGGGGTCAAAGGCGTGCGATGGCCGGCGACTGGGGGAGCACCAGGAGCAGCAGGAGGGGGGGCAGCACCGGCTGCGCTGGCAGCCAATCAGAGGGCGGGTTTAGGGCGCGTGGGGAGCGTTGGTTTGTTGAATAAGGCGGACAAGGTCGCCAGGGATGAGATGGGGCACGAGTCGGGCGTCCAATGCGGAACTAAGGCCCGCGTTGCCCAGACATCCAGCAAGAGCAGCACTGGCGCTGCTGCGAGAAGCCCCACTGCTGTGGCAGCGGCTGCTGCTGTTGGTGCTGCCGCCTCTGCTCCTGCTTCGTCTGGTGCGACCACTGAAGCAGGCCCTTGTGTGGCCCAAGCGGGCGGTGCTGCAGCAATTGTGGGAGCAGATGGGGTGGCAGTTGACGCACCGGGCGGCACTGCAGGGGGAGAGGAGCGCGGAAGAGCGGAGGTGGCGGGGGATGAGGAGATGTGCGGCGCACTGGAGCAGGGAGGGGATGGAAGGGCGGATAGGGATGAAGGGCAGCGCGGGGGTGACGAGGCAGTGGCAGGATGGCAGGGAGGGGAGGAGGCGATGCACGCAGCATGGTGGGATGCAGCAGCAGCAGCAGACGGCGATGCATGGCTGCCGTTCGACCTGGTGCCCTGACCTCGCCATAACCCCAGCCTCCCAAGGTGTAGCCAGCAAAGGAGCAAAGCTAAGAGTCTCGCATGCCCACTTGTAGCTAGCTAGCATCCAAGCTGCTTGCTACCAGGGGCATGCAGACCCCTAGCACATGTACAAGTCAACCCCTGTCTAAGCATAGGATATGCAGCCAGAACCATCTAGTCAGCGCCTCTTCCTTGTGTATACGTCTACCAGTATGTGGTTTTGTGGTGTATACGTGTGTACCAGTATGTGGTTTTGGTGGAACCTTTGTACCATTGCCATGTACAGGCGCTCTTGGCATTCTGAGACTTCACGTACGTGGACTACGAGGGGGCTCAGATTTCAGGCAAATTACCCTGATTCACGTGTAAACAAAGGTTTGAGTAGGCATCCAAGAACCACCAAATCTGATAGCTCAATACCGCATTCCCCTGGATACAATACGCACAATGCACAGCGTTTCGCAATGGTACAAAGAGGTGCACAAGCTCCTAGGTTCCCACCCAACCACTCCCACCCACCACCTATCCACCCCACAACCACCCCACCCACCCAACCACGCCCACCACCCATCCACCCCACACCCAGCCCACCCACCCAACAACCCCCACCACCCATCCAATGGGCCCAACGAGGTCAACCCCCCGTAGCCTCCACCCTCCATTCCATCAACCCCTCGTCACTCACCTCATGGGTGAGCCCTATGCCGCCCTCCCTCCTGTCCAGCTCCCTTGTTCAGCACCACACTCCATCCTTCTCTCTTGTTCAGCACCGCACTCCATCCTGCTCCCTTGTTCAGCACCGCACTCCATCCTTCTCCCTTGTTCAGCACCGCACTCCATCCTGCTCCCTTGCTCGGCACTGCGCTCGCAAGGATGCACGTGGCACATGGTTGCAGCAGCGCGTGGTTGCAGCAGCGCCTGGTTGCAGCAGCGCGTGGTTGCAACCTCCCAGAGTGTGTGGGACAGTTGTCCCCCATCCTCAGCACCGTTCCACCAGCATCCTCCCTGCCACGGTGCTCTGCGCTCCTCCCAGCAGCATCCTCCCTGCCACGATGCACTGCGCTCCTCCCAGCAGCATCCTCCCTGCCACAATGCACTGCGCTCCTCCCAGCAGCATCCTCCATGCGACGATGCACTGCGCTCCTCCCAGCAGCATCATCCCTGCTCTGCTATCTTGCTATCTTGGAGGAAGGCCAACCACCGAGCACACATGACGGGCGACGCACACATGAGGGGCGAACCACACACTTAGCACCAAGACAAAGAGCAAAACGGAAAATCACTCAACAGTAACAAATTCAACGGCTGATTGTTAGGACCCTCCAAAACGACCAAAAATAAAACTTACAGCAAGGAGTGTTGCTGTGTTGGCCTCAGCTCCCTCTTCCCTCACCTGCTTCCCCTTCCCTCTCTGTTTCAGCGTCTACATCCCCCTCTGCGTCCCGTGGTTGCACGGCCAGCCGCCACCCATGCCCCACCCAGGTCCCAGGTACCTCCTCATGCATGACAATCGCCTCAGCTGGACACTCCCTCCTGCTGCTGCACTGCGTTCCCACAGAGTGAGGCGCAGCTGCTTCCCATCCTCATTCGGCCACAGGGTGATTCACTCGTCCATCAGGGTGATTCACTCACTCGTCCATCAGGGTGATTCACTCACTCGTCCATCAGGGTGATTCACTCACTCGTCCATCAGGGTGATTCACTCACTCGTCCATCAGGGTGATTCACTCACTCGTCCATCAGGGTGATTCACTCGGCCACAGGGTGATTCACTCGGCCACCGGGTGATTCAATCGGCCATAGGGGAAATATGAAGACAAGTGACACGACTGGTTGCCCAGCAGCAGAAGAGACCCCACAGGCTGGCATGGAGCAAAGAGCAAAGAGCAAAGAGCAAAGAGCAAAGAGCAAGCACTTGAGTGCTAGGTCCGTACCATGTGTGCTGCGCCCTTCTCTCCATGCCGCCTCCTGTCACCATGCTCCTCCGCTCCACGCAGGCCCACCCACCCCTCTGCTCTACCTGCTGTCTTCTGCACCGCACTCCTCTCAGCTGCATCCACCCTTCAACCCCTTGCCTTCCTTGCCCCCTCCCACCCCAAGGGTATGGCCAGATCAATGGTTGGGAGGGTGCTGGCACGCCCTTTTAGCACTTCTCTGCTGCAACACGGCTGCCACGGGGTAAGGACCAGCAACCCTTCTCTGCTGCAACACTGCTTCCACGGGGTAAGAACCATCCTCCCTCCTCTGCAGCAATCCTGCACAGAGGAGCATTGCAAGAATGATTGAAGAGGATGATTGAAGAGAATGACAAGAAGACAAGAATCCAAGGCAGGGCCAACACACCTTACGCCTGCCTGCCGGTGCTGCCCCCTCCTCACGGCAGCCGCCTGCTCTCTCCACTCCTCCCTCCACTGCTCCCACCACTGCACTGGCACACAATGCTGCCAGCCAACGGAGCAGGAGGCACCTCCTGCACCAAGAAACAGGACCATATAGAAATGAGTGACATGACGTGGTAGGGAAATGAGGAGTTCAGCAACAACAGCCCTCTGCCCAGTGATTTAGATTTCATTATGAGAAGAATGCACACAAAACAGTATGCCAAGGCAGGGCCGACGCAGTCGGTAGAAAAAGGGGGGGCTTGTGCTGGGTGTGAGATGGATCAACAGGAGAGAGGAGAGAGAAGAGCAGAGATGTGGACTGAGGAGAGCGGGTGTAAGGGGAGGAAGCAGAGCAAGCGGGAGCCACGTGCTCTCACACAGTACCTCACACCTGAAGAGCAGCCTGCTCCTTCCTTGCTTCTCCCGCCTGCCCGTCCTGCTGCAATAACAAGAGTTACAACAGGAAATTCCTTCAACCCTTTGCTTTTGTTCACTCCTACCTCGGAAATTTTATTTCCTTGTACATTAGATCTTGCAGTATGCAAGCATTAGTTCTGCTGGTGTGGCTGTCTGTGCTGTGCTGTGCTGTGCTGTGCTGTCGGTGCTGTCTGTGCTGTCTGTGGGTGGAAGGGTGGGCGGACCGGCTTGTAGTTGGAGTAAGAGTATCACTGCAGAGAGGCGAGCGACGCAAAGAGGGCAAGGATGGAGGCAGAGAGGCAGTGAGGTACGTACCATGATGGTGGCACGTGACGAGAGTGGGGCATACCAAAGGGAGACAGGAGTGAGGAAGAATGAGGCAGCGAGGTACGTACCAGAAGCGCTGTACTCCCAGTTGCACAGATGGTCCGCCAGCTGGTCTCACAGATAGTCCGACAGCTGGTCTCGTTGCTGGTTGCACAGATGGTCCGCCAGCTGGTCTCACAGATAGTCCGACAGCTGGTCTCGTTGCTGGTTGCACAGATGGTCCGACAGCTGGTCTCACAGCTGGTCGCACAGATAGTCCGACAGCTGGTCTCGTTGCTGGTTGCACAGATGGTCTGACAGCTGGTCTCACAGCTGGTCGCACAGATAGTCCGACAGCTGGTCTCGTTGCTGGTTGCACAGATGGTCCGACAGCTGGTCTCACTGCTGGTCGCACAGATGGTCCGACAGCTGGTCTCGTTGCTGGTTGCACAGATGGTCTGACAGCTGGTCTCACTGCTGGTCGCACAGATAGTCCGACAGCTGGTCTCGTTGCTGGTTGCACAGATGGTCTGACAGCTGGTCTCACAGCTGGTCGCACAGATAGTCCGACAGCTGGTCTCGTTGCTGGTTGCACAGATGGTCTGACAGCTGGTCTCACAGCTGGTCGCACAGATAGTCCGACAGCTGGTCTCGTTGCTGGTTGCACAGATGGTCTGACAGCTGGTCTCACAGCTGGTCGCACAGATAGTCCGACAGCTGGTCTCGTTGCTGGTTGCACAGATGGTCTGACAACTGGTCTCACTGCTGGTCGCACAGATGGTCCGACAGCTGGTCTCACAGCTGGTCGCACAGATAGTCCGACAGCTGGTCTCGTTGCTGGTTGCACAGATGGTCTGACAGCTGGTCTCACTGCTGGTCGCACAGATGGTCCGACAGCTGGTCTCACAGCTGGTCGCACAGATAGTCCGACAGCTGGTCTCGTTGCTGGTTGCACAGATGGTCTGACAGCTGGTCTCACTGCTGGTCGCACAGATAGTCCGACAGCTGGTCTCACAGCTGGTCTCACTGCTGGTCTCACAGCTGGCCACACAGCTGGTCTCACAGCTGCTCTCACAGCTGGTCTCACAGCTGGTCTCACAGCTGGTCACAAAGCTGGTTTCACAGCTGGTCTCACAGCTGGTCTCACAGCTGGTCTCACTGCAGCTCGCAGACCTAGTCTCACTGCTGGTCTCACAGCTGGTCTCACTGCTGGTCGCACAGCTGGTCTCAGTGCGAGTCTCACAGCTGGTCTCACAGCTGGTCGCCCAGATAGTCCGACAGCAGGTCTCGCTGCTGCTCTCACAGATGGTCTCACAGCTGGTCTCACTGCTGGTCTCACAGCTGGTCTCACTGCTGGTCTCACAGCTGGTCTCACTGCTGGTCTCACAGCTAGTCTCACTGCTGGTCTCACAGCTGGTCTCACAGCTGGCCACACAGCTGGTCGCACAGCTGGTCTCACAGCTGGTCTCACAGCTGGTCGCACAGCTGGTCTAACAACTGGTCTCACAGCTGGTCTCACAGCTGGTCTCACAGCTGGTCTCACAGCTGGTCACAAAGCTGGTTTCACAGCTGGTCTCACAGCTGGTCACAAAGCTGGTTTCACAGCTGGTCTCACTGCAGCTCGCAGACCTGGTCTCACTGCTGGTCGCACAGCTGGTCTCAGTGCGAGTCTCACAGCTGGCCTCACAGCTGGTCTCACTGCTGCTCTCACAGATGGTCCGACAGCTGGTCTCACAGCTGGTCTCACAGCTGGTCTCACAGCTGGTCTCACAGCTGGTCTCACTGCTGGTCTCACAGCTGGTCTCACTGCTGGTCTCACAGCAGGTCTCACGGATGGTCCGACAGCTGGTCTCACAGCTGGTCTCACAGCTGGTCACACTGCTGGTCTCACAGCTAGTCTCACTGCTGGTCTCACAGCTGGTCTCACTGCTGGTCTCACAGCTGGTCTCACTGCTGGTCTCACAGCTGGTCTCACTGCTGGTCGCACAGCTGGTCTTACAGCTAGTCTCACAGCTGGTCTCACAGCTGGTCTCACAGCTTGTCTCACAGCTGGTCTCGCAGCTGGTCTCACAGCTTGTCACACAGCTGGTCTCACAGCTGGTCTCACAGCTGGTCTCACAGCTGGTCTCACAGATGGTCCGACAGCTGGTCTCTCTGCCGGTCTCACAGCTGGTCTCACTGCTGGTCTCACAGCTGGTCTCTCTGCTGGTCTCACAGCTGGTCTCACTGCTGGTCTCAAAGCTGGTCTCACAGCTGGTCTCACAGCTGGTCTCACAGCTGGTCTCACAGCCGGTCTCACAGGTGGTCTCACAGCTGGTCTCACAGCTGGTCTCACTGCTGGTGCTGATCTCACAGCTGGTCTCACTGCCTGTCTCACAGCTGGTCGCACAAATGGTCTCACAGCTGGTTTCACAGCTGCTGTCACTCCTGGTCTCACAGCTGGTCTCACAGCTGGTCTCACAGCTGGTCTCACAGCTGGTCTCACAGCCGGTCTCACAGCTGGTCTCACTGCTGGGCTCACTGCTGGTGCTGGTCTCACAGCTGGTCTCACAGCTGGTCTCACTGCTGGTCTCACAGCTGGTCTCACTGCTGGTCTCACAGCTGGTCTCACTGCTGGTCTCACAGCTAGTCTCACTGCTAGTGGCACAGCTGGTCTTACAGCTAGTCTCACCGCTGGTCTCACAGCTGGTCTCACAGCTGGTCTCACAGCTGGTCTCACAGCTGGTCTCACAGATGGTCCGACAGCTGGTCTCTCTGCCGGTCTCACAGCTGGTCTCACTGCCGGTCTCACAGCTGGTCTCTCTGCTGGTCTCACAGCTGGTCTCACTGCTGGTCTCACAGCTGGTCTCACTGCTGGTCTCACAGCTGGTCTCACTGCTAGTCGCACAGCTGGTCTTACAGCTGGTCTCACTGCTGGTCTCACAGCTGGTCTCACTGCTGGTCTCACAGCAGGTCTCACGGATGGTCCGACAGCTGGTCTCACAGCTGGTCTCACAGCTGGTCACACTGCTGGTCTCACAGCTAGTCTCACTGCTGGTCTCACAGCTGGTCTCACTGCTGGTCTCACAGCTGGTCTCACTGCTGGTCTCACAGCTGGTCTCACTGCTAGTCGCACAGCTGGTCTTACAGCTAGTCTCACCGCTGGTCTCACAGCTGGTCTAACAGCTGGTCTCACAGCTGGTCTCACAGCTGGTCTCACAGATGGTCCGACAGCTGGTCTCTCTGCCGGTCTCACAGCTGGTCTCACTGCTGGTCTCACAGCTGGTCTCTCTGCTGGTCTCACAGCTGGTCTCACTGCTAGTCGCACACCTGGTCTCACAGCTGGTCTCACAGCTGGTCTCACAGCTGGTCTAACAGCTGGTCTCACAGCTGGTCTCACAGCTGGTCTCACAGATGGTCCGACAGCTGGTCTCTCTGCCGGTCTCACAGCTGGTCTCACTGCTGGTCTCACAGCTGGTCTCTCTGCTGGTCTCACAGCTGGTCTCACTGCTAGTCGCAAACCTGGTCTCACAGCTGGTCTCACAGCTTGTCTCACAGCTGGTCTCACAGCTGGTCTCACAGCTGGTCTCACAGCTGGTCTCACAGCTGGTCTCACAGCTGGTCTCACAGCCGGTCTCACAGCTGGTCTCACAGCTGGTCTCACAGCTGGTCTCACTGCTGGTGCTGATCTCACAGCTGGTCTCATTGCCTGTCTCACAGCTGGTCGCACAAATGGTCTCACAGCTGGTTTCACAGCTGGTGTCACTCCTGGTCTCACAGCTGGTCTCACAGCTGGTCTTACAGCTGGTCTCACAGCTGGTCTCACAGCCGGTCTCACAGCTGGTCTCACTGCTGGGCTCACTGCTGGTGCTGGTCTCACAGCTGGTCTCACAGCTGGTCTCACTGCTGGTCTCACAGCTGGTCTCACTGCTGGTCTCACAGCTGGTCTCACAGCTGGTCTCACAGCTGGTCTCACAGCTGGTCTCACAGCTGGTTTCACAGCTGGTCTCACAGCTGGTCCCACAGCTGGTCTCACTGCAGCTCGCAGACCTGGTCTCACTGCTGGTCTCACAGCTGGTCTCACTGCTGGTCGCACAGCTGGTCTCAGTGCGAGTCTCACAGCTGGTCTCACAGCTGGTCTCACTGCTGCTCTCACAGATGGTCCGACAGCTGGTCTCATAGCTGGTCTCACAGCTGGTCTCACAGCTGGTCACACTGCTGGTCTCACAGCTAGTCTCACTGCTGGTCTCACAGCTGGTCTCACTGCTGGTCTCACAGCTGGTCTCACTGCTGGTCTCACAGCTGGTCTCACTGCTAGTCGCACAGCTGGTCTTAGAGCTAGTCTCACAGCTGGTCTCACAGCTGGTCTCACAGCTTGTCTCACAGCTGGTCTCGCAGCTGGTCTCACAGCTTGTCACACAGCTGGTCTCACAGCTGGTCTCACAGCTGGTCTCACAGCTGGTCTCACAGATGGTCCGACAGCTGGTCTCTCCGCCGGTCTCACAGCTGGTCTCACTGCTGGTCTCACAGCTGGTCTCACTGCTGGTCTCACAGCTGGTCTCACTGCTAGTCGCACAGCTGGTCTCACAGCTGGTCTCACAGCTGGTCTCACAGCTGGTCTCACAGCTGGTCTCACAGCTTGTCTCACAGCTTGTCTCACAGCTGGTCTCACAGCTGGTCTCACAGCTGGTCTCACAGCTGGTCTCACAGCTGGTCTCACAGCCGGTCTCACAGCTGGTCTCACAGCTGGTCTCACAGCTGGTCTCACTGCTGGTGCTGATCTCACAGCTGGTCTCACTGCTGGTGCTGATCTCACAGCTGGTCTCACTGCCTGTCTCACAGCTGGTCGCACAAATGGTCTCACAGCTGGTTTCACAGCTGGTGTCACTCCTGGTCTAAGTGGAGAAATACGCTTGGGCAGCCTAGCGTATTGCGTACATACGCTAGCGTATAATACGAATACGCTGTACGCTAGCTAAGTACGCAATACGCTAGCGTATTTCTTGGCGGGCAGCCCGGCAAGAAATACGCAAAAAACGGTGCGACAAATTTGCGACATGACGAAACCCCACAGGGATTTCGTCATGTCGCAAACCGAAATTTGGCTTTTCAAATCGTCAACCCAACCCCTTCGCCCCTCCCAACCACACAGCATCCCACCCAATCTGCGACTTCCAAACAACACCCAAAGAAATCTCCTTCCTCTCCCTCTCTACTCTACTCCAGCAGGGTTCAACGCAGTTCACTCCTACGACGAAATCAGGGTACAAGTAAACTGGCGCGCTAACTTCAGTCATTTCTTCTTCCAAGCTAGCGCGACTAGCTAGCTGGTTTTTTAGCGACTGTTGCTATGTCGAACCCTCCACCTAGTCCTGGTTCCCACGGAACCGACGCGGGAACCTCCTGTGCTGCGTCTTCCTCTGACGAGCTCCTGGAGAACTCCACCCACGCTATCTTTAAGCATTTCAAGTTTAAGCATAAGGAGCACGGCAAGCAGCAAAAGTATTGGTGCAAGTACTGCCCCGTATCCTTGGTGCTCTGAACCCCCCCTCTTCCCTCCCCAAACAGGTTTTTTTTACCCCTGCCCGAGTTGTTTTTATACCTGCCCGCCAGAGCGTATTTCCTAGCGTATCCAATCCCATAATGAAGCGTACAGCGTATATACGCTAGCGTATAATACGCTTGCGTATAATACGCTGGACGCGTATTTCTCCACTTAGCTCCTGGTCTCACAGCTGGTCTCACAGCTGGTCTTACAGCTGGTCTCACAGCTGGTCTCACAGCCGGTCTTACAGCTGGTCTCACTGCTGGGCTCACTGCTGGTGCTGGTCTCACAGCTGGTCTCACAGCTGGTCTCACTGCTGGTCTCACAGCTGGTCTCACAGCTGGTCTCACAGCTGGTCTCATAGCTGGTCTCACAGCTGGTCTCACAGCTGGTCTCACAGCTGCTCTCACAGCTGCTCTCACAGCTGGTCTCACAGCTGGTCTCACAGCTGGTCACAAAGCTGGTTTCACAGCTGGTCTCACAGCTGGTCTCACAGCTGGTCTCACAGCTGGTCTCACAGCTGGTCTCACTGCTAGTCGCACAGCTGGTCTCACAGCTTGTCTCACAGCTTGTCTCACAGCTTGTCTCACAGCTGGTCTCACAGCTGGTCTCACAGCCGGTCTCACAGCTGGTCTCACAGCTGGTCTCACAGCTGGTCTCACTGCTGGTGCTGATCTCACAGCTGGTCTCACTGCTTGTCTCACAGCTGGTCGCACAAATGGTCTCACAGCTGGTTTCACAGCTGGTGTCACTCCTGGTCTCACAGCTGGTCTCACTGCTGGTCGCACAGCTGGTCTCAAAGCTGGTCTCACAGCTGGTCTCACAGCTGGTCACAAAGCTGGTTTCACAGCTGGTCTCACAGCTGGTCTCACAGCTGGTCTCATAGCTGGTCTCACAGCTGGTCTCACTGCTAGTCGCACAGCTGGTCTAACAGCTTGTCTCACAGCTTGTCTCACAGCTTGTCCCACAGCTGGTCTCACAGCTGGTCTCACAGCCGGTCTCACAGCTGGTCTCACAGCTGGTCTCACAGCTGGTCTCACTGCTGGTGCTGATCTCACAGCTGGTCTCACTGCTTGTCTCACAGCTGGTCGCACAAATGGTCTCACAGCTGGTTTCACAGCTGGTGTCACTCCTGGTCTCACAGCTGGTCTCACTGCTGGTCGCACAGCTGGTCTCAAAGCTGGTCTCACAGCTGGTCTCAAAGCTGGTCTCACAGCTGGTCTCACAGCTGGTCTCACTGCTAGTCGCACAGATGGTCCGACAGCTGGTCTCACAGCCGGTCTCACACCGGGTCTCACTGCTGGTCTCACAGCTGGTCTCACAGCTGGTCTCACTGCTGGTCTCACAGCTGGTCTCACAGCTGGTCTCACAGCTGGTCTGACTGCTGGTCGCACAGCTGGTCTCACTGCTGGTCTCGCAACTGGTCTCACAGCTGGTCTCACAGCTTGTATCACAGCTGGTCTCACAGCTGGTCTCACTGCTGGTCTCACCGCAGGTCTCAAGGATGGTCCGACAGCTGGTCTCACAGCTGGTCTCACTGCTGGTCTCACAGCTAGTCTCACTGCTGGTCTCACAGCTGGTCTCACTGCTGGTCTCACAGCTGGTCTCACTGCTGGTCTCACAGCTGGTCTCACTGCTAGTCGCACAGCTGGTCTTACAGCTAGTCTCACAGCTGGTCTCACAGCTGGTCTCACAGCTGGTCTCACAGCTGGTCTCAAAGATGGTCCGACAGCTGGTCTCTCTGCCGGTCTCACAGCTGGTCTCACTGCTGGTCTCACAGCTGGTCTCTCTGCTGGTCTCACAGCTGGTCTCACTGCTGGTCTCACAGCTGGTCTCACTGCTAGTCGCACAGCTGGTCTCACAGCTGGTCTCACAGCTGGTCTCACAGCTGGTCTCACAGCTGGTCTCACAGCTTGTCTCACAGCTGGTCTCACAGCTGGTCTCACAGCTGGTCTCACAGCTGGTCTCACAGCTGGTCTCACAGCTGGTCTCACAGCCGGTCTCACAGCTGGTCTCACAGCTGGTCTCACAGCTGGTCTCACTGCTGGTGCTGATCTCACAGCTGGTCTCACTGCCTGTCTCACAGCTGGTCGCACAAATGGTCTCACAGCTGGTTTCACAGCTGGTGTCACTCCTGGTCTCACAGCTGGTCTCACAGCTGGTCTTACAGCTGGTCTCACAGCTGGTCTCACAGCCGGTCTCACAGCTGGTCTCACTGCTGGGCTCACTGCTGGTGCTGGTCTCACAGCTGGTCTCACTGCTGGTCTCACTGCTGGTCTCACAGCTGGTCTCACTGCTGGTCTCACAGCTGGTCTCACTGCTGGTCTCACAGCTGGTCTCACAGCTGGTCTCACAGCTGGTCTCACAGCTGGTCTCACAGCTGGTCTCACAGCTGGTCTCACAGCTGGTCCCACAGCTGGTCTCACTGCAGCTCGCAGACCTGGTCTCACTGCTGGTCTCACAGCTGGTCTCACTGCTGGTCGCACAGCTGGTCTCAGTGCGAGTCTCACAGCTGGTCTCACAGTTGGTCTCACTGCTGCTCTCACAGATGGTCCGACAGCTGGTCTCATAGCTGGTCTCACAGCTGGTCTCACAGCTGGTCTCACAGCTGGTCTCACTGCTGGTCTCACAGCTGGTCTCACTGCTGGTCTCACAGCAGGTCTCACGGATGGTCCGACAGCTGGTCTCACAGCTGGTCTCACAGCTGGTCACACTGCTGGTCTCACAGCTAGTCTCACTGCTGGTCTCACAGCTGGTCTCACAGCTGGTCTCACAGCTGGTCTGACTGCTGGTCGCACAGCTGGTCTCACTGCTGGTCTCGCAACTGGTCTCACAGCTGGTCTCACAGCTTGTATCACAGCTGGTCTCACAGCTGGTCTCACTGCTGGTCTCAAAGCAGGTCTCACGGATGGTCCGACAGCTGGTCTCACAGCTGGTCACACTGCTGGTCTCACAGCTAGTCTCACTGCTTGTCTCACAGCTGGTCTCACTGCTGGTCTCACAGCTGGTCTCACTGCTGGTCTCACAGCTGGTCTCACTGCTAGTCGCACAGCTGGTCTTACAGCTAGTCTCACAGCTGGTCTCACAGCTGGTCTCACAGCTTGTCTCACAGCTGGTCTCGCAGCTGGTCTCACAGCTTGTCACACAGCTGGTCTCACAGCTGGTCTCACAGCTGGTCTCACAGCTGGTCTCACAGATGGTCCGACAGCTGGTCTCTCCGCCGGTCTTACAGCTGGTCTCACTGCTGGTCTCACAGCTGGTCTCTCTGCTGGTCTCACAGCTGGTCTCACTGCTGGTCTCACAGCTGGTCTCACTGCTGGTCTCACAGCTGGTCTCACAGCTTGTCTCACAGCTTGTCTCACAGCTGGTCTCACAGCTGGTCTCACAGCTGGTCTCACAGCTGGTCTCACAGCTGGTCTCACAGCCGGTCTCACAGCTGGTCTCACAGCTGGTCTCACAGCTGGTCTCACTGCTGGTGCTGATCTCACAGCTGGTCTCACTGCCTGTCTCACAGCTGGTCGCACAAATGGTCTCACAGCTGGTTTCACAGCTGGTGTCACTCCTGGTCTCACAGCTGGTCTCACAGCTGGTCTTACAGCTGGTCTCACAGCTGGTCTCACAGCTGGTCTCACAGCTGGTCTCACAGATGGTCCGACAGCTGGTCTCTCTGCCGGTCTCACAGCTGGTCTCACTGCTGGTCTCACAGCTGGTCTCTCTGCTGGTCTCACAGCTGGTCTCACTGCTAGTCGCACAGCTGGTCTCACAGCTGGTCTCACAGCTGGTCTCACAGCTGGTCTCATAGCTGGTCTCACAGCTTGTCTCACAGCTGGTCTCACAGCTGGTCTCACAGCTGGTCTCACAGCTGGTCTCACAGCTGGTCTCACAGCTGGTCTCACAGCCGGTCTCACAGCTGGTCTCACAGCTGGTCTCACAGCTGGTCTCACTGCTGGTGCTGATCTCACAGCTGGTCTCACTGCCTGTCTCACAGCTGGTCGCACAAATGGTCTCACAGCTGGTTTCACAGCTGGTGTCACTCCTGGTCTCACAGCTGGTCTCACAGCTGGTCTTACAGCTGGTCTCACAGCCGGTCTCACAGCTGGTCTCACTGCTGGGCTCACTGCTGGTGCTGGTCTCACAGCTGGTCTCACAGCTGGTCTTACAGCTGGTCTCACAGCTGGTCTCACTGCTGGTCTCACAGCTGGTCTCACTGCTGGTCTCACAGCTGGTCTCACAGCTGGTCTCACAGCTGGTCTCACAGCTGGTCTCACAGCTGGTCTCATAGCTGCTCTCACAGCTGGTCTCACAGCTGGTCACAAAGCTGGTTTCACAGCTGGTCTCACAGCTGGTCTCACTGCTAGTCGCACAGCTGGTCTCACAGCTTGTCTCACAGCTTGTCTCACAGCTTGTCTCACAGCTGGTCTCACAGCCGGTCTCACAGCTGGTCTCACAGCTGGTCTCACAGCTGGTCTCACTGCTGGTGCTGATCTCACAGCTGGTCTCACTGCTTGTCTCACAGCTGGTCGCACAAATGGTCTCACAGCTGGTTTCACAGCTGGTGTCACTCCTGGTCTCACAGCTGGTCTCACTGCTGGTCGCACAGCTGGTCTCAGTGCGAGTCTCACAGCTGGTCTCACAGCTGGTCTCAAAGCTGGTCTCACAGCTGGTCTCACAGCTGGTCTCACTGCTAGTCGCACAGATGGTCCGACAGCTGGTCTCACAGCCGGTCTCACACCGGGTCTCACTGCTGGTCTCACAGCTGGTCTCACAGCTGGTCTCACTGCTGGTCTCACAGCTGGTCTCACAGCTGGTCTCACAGCTGGTCTGACTGCTGGTCGCACAGCTGGTCTCACTGCTGGTCTCGCAACTGGTCTCACAGCTGGTCTCACAGCTTGTATCACAGCTGGTCTCACAGCTGGTCTCACAGCTTGTCTCACAGCTGGTCTCACAGCTGGTCTCATAGCTGGTCTCACTGCTGGTCTCACAGCTGGTCTCACAGTTGGTCTCACTGCTGGTCTTACAGCTGGTCACAGCTGGTCTCACAACTGGTCTCATAGCTAGTCTCACAGCTGGTCACATTGCTGGTCTCACACATGAGCGCCAACGCACCTTATGTCCACTGAATGAGCGCCTGCCGTTGCTGACCCCCTCTCACGGCAGCGCCTCCTGCCACTGCTCCCTCCACTGCTCCCGCCACTGCTCCCTCCCCTGCTCCCGCCACTGCTCCCTCCACTGCTCCCGCCACTGCTCCCTCCACTGCTCCCTCCACTGCTCCCTCCACTCCTCCCTCCACTCCTCCCTCCATTTCTCCCTCCACTGCTCCCTCCACTGCTCCCTCCACTGCTCCCTCCACTGCTCCGGCACAATGCTACCAGCCAACGGAGCAGGAGGCACCTCCTGCACCAAGAAATAGGAACGTATAATATGAGAGACATGACAGCATATGAGCGGAATGAGAAGTTCGGCAACGACAGCTTCTGCCCAGTGATTTAGAATTCATAATGAGGAGAATGCCAAGGCAGGGCCGACGCACCTTGTGCCTGCGCCTGCCAGTGGTGCAACTCCCGACACTGCTGCTGACGCCTGGAAAGGGATGAGGGCAGAAATATGAGGGGGGGTGGGTGTTCTGGGTGAGACGGATTGACAGAAGAGCAGAGCTGTCCGAGTGAACACCACTTAGCTGCCATGGGTCTTTAACTGGCAGCAACTGTGATAACGCTTAGGATGCCTGAGGGGGGGACAAGAGCAGCAGGGAGGATGTCAACGGCAAGAGCCAGAGGCGAGAAAAGTAACACCGAGTAGAAGAAAACGGAGAGGGCGGGAAGAGCGAGAGGGGCGAGGACCCAGTGTTACTACGAGTGTTAAAGTTTAGCTAGAGTCCCTGTGGGTAGGCGCGGCCCTATGATTAGAGAGTGCTAGAGTACCTGTGGTTAGGTGCGGCCCTGTGATTAGAGAGTGCTAGAGTACCTGTGGTTAGGCGCGGCCCTGTGATTAGAGAGTGTTAGAGTACCTGTGGTTAGGTGCGGCCCAGTGATTAAAGAGTGCTAGAGTACCTGTGGTTAGGCGCGGCCCGGTAATTAAAGAGTGCTAGCGCACCTGTGGTTAGGCGCGGCCCTGTGTTTAGAGATTGGTGTGGAGGATGCTGCTGATGTGGCTGTCCGTGTCTGTGCTGTGCTGTGCTGTCGGTCCAGTCGGTGCTGTCTGCTGTGTGTGGGTGGGAGGGTTGACGGACGGGCTTGGAGTTGGAGTGGCAGGATCACGGATCAGTGATGCAAAGAGCGCAAGGAGGCAGCGAGGCAGCGAGGTACGTACCATGATGGTGGCAGGTGAAGCGAGTGGGGCACGCCAAAGGGAGCAAGGAGTGAGGAAGAATGAGGCAGCGAGGTACGTACTAGCAGCTCTGTACTCCCAGTTGCCGACCATCATGCCATCAGTGTCCCAGTAAGGCAGCCAGACACATACCGCCAGACACATACCGCCAGACACATACCGCCATGGCAGCAGCAGCGCCACTGCCGCTCCCAGCACCTCGTCTTGTACCGCCAGCTCGTGAAGGGCAGGGCGCGCTGTGGCCAGCAGGGCACGTGCAGGGCAGCCACAGCGACAGGGCATGCCGCACCGCTGCCTCCAGTTGCACGGCAGCCCCGTGATTGCGTGCCGTGCGTCATCCCACTGCCGCCATCCCTGCTGCCCCCCACTGCGGCTGCTGCATGGGAGGGGCAGAGGGTGAGAAAGAGGGGTGGGGGGAAGGGGAAGGGGCAAGTGAAAGAGAAAAGGAGAGGGAGCGAGTGAGGTAGAAGACAAAATAATGACGAAGCGAAAACTAACACAAAGGAACACAGTAAGCAAGCGATTAAGCAAGTGAGTAAAATTAAACACGAAACGAAGGAGCGGGAGTGAAGGTCCTGGTATCGGTTGGGTGGTCGGTGTTGGGTTGTGAGTGTTGCAGCGTCGCTGTTGGCAGGTTGCAGTGTGAGGAGCGGATGGGCGAGTGGGTGTGTTGGGAGCTGCAGGTCCCACCAGGGACCATACCACACCTCGCAGCCACCATGCTCACATCATGGCGCTGCCTCTACCACCTGGGGAGGGTCCCGTGGTGAGAGCACTGGCAGCCAGAGGAGGAGGGGGGCGAGGTGAGAGGAGGAGGAGTTCGGGAGGGGCGTGGATGTGTCGGTGCAGAGCGCTCCTCAGCTACAATCGTGGCTGCACCACGTGCTCCCACGCTGCTGCCCTCCCCCGAACCGCACTCCCTCCAGCCGCACTCCCTCCAGCCGCACTCCCTCCAACCGCACTCCCCACAACCGCACTCCCTCCAGCAGCACTCCCAGCAGCGGCTCCCGCAAGCCTTCTGGTGCAAGGGGGAATGGTGAGGGGAGAAACGCACTAGGGGAAGGAGTTGCAAAAAGTTAGATCCACGTAACAAGGCAGAAACTGGGAAGCAAGGACGAGAAGAGTAGAACATGTGGCTAAGACCCACGGCAGCACTGCAGTGGGAAGGCTTTCAAGGCATCAAGGGGGAAGGAGCGTGAGGCACAGGCGAACCCATGGCACTTGGCGGCCATGCGAAGGGGACTGAGAAGAAAGTGGAGGTGTGAGAGGAGAGAGAGGGACGCGCGCATGGGAACGAATGAATGCTGAGCTGCCCGCCTAGACTATGCAAGCGACCGCCAAGCGCCATGGACTGCCACGCCCTCACTTCACCACTCAACTCCAACCCCCCGTCCACCTCTCAGCCCCCCACGCAGCAGTGCCTAGGGCAGTCATAAAATGAATAGAAAAGGCGAAAAACACAACAAGAGGAGAAGGGTAAGAGTACTTAGCCGTTTGCGTAGGTATTTGAAGCGGACGTAGCAGCAGCGCCACCACCGCCGCCAGCAGCAGCAGTGCCAGCAGCAGCACCACTGCCAGCAGCAACAGCAGCACAAGGTCGCCGCAGCAGCGACACCACCGCCAGCAGCAGAATCGGTGGCACCATTGGCAGCACCATCCGCACCACCGTCAGCAGCACCGTCAGCAGCACCGTCGGCAGCACCGTCAGCAGCACCATCCGCAGCACCACTGGATGGTTGTAGCGCAGCACCACTCCCAGCGGCAGCACACGGGACCTTGATTGAGTGGGGAGTTGTATTGGTGACACCGCTGTTCCTGCCTGCCGTGCGTCATCCCACCACCCTTCCTCCACGCACAAGGCAGGGGCGAGAGGGAAGGAGGCAGGAGCCACGATCGTCACCATCAGAACACGCCGTGGCGATTGTAGCCGTCAGGAAATGCCGTGGCGGGCATCATTGTCAGCAAACGCCGTCGCAATCGTCAGCCTCACCTCAACCATCGCCGTCAGCACCAGGAAGACGTCGCGATCGTCGCCGTCAGAAAACGTCGTCGCGATCGTCAGCCTCATAAACGCTGTCGCGGTCGTCGCCGTCAGAAAGCGCCGTCGCGATCGTCCGCCTCAGAAAATGCTCTCGATTGTCGCCGTCAAAAAACACCGTCGCGATCGCAACCTTGAGGAAACGGCGTCGGGATTGTCGCCGTTAGAAAACGCCGCTTCCTTTGTCGCCGTCGCAAAGTTTTCGTCAGAAGTCTTCGTGGCGGTTGGCGTCAGAAAAAATCGGCGTTGCCTTCGGCGTCTGGAACAGGTGTTGCCGGCGACCATCTGACCAGCAGCGTTGGCCTTCGAAGGAGCTCACGGGGAGCGGTGGCGAACCTCGACGAACCCTCAGGTGGCGAACCACGTCTATAAGACGAGGCAGCGGTGAAAGTGCATTGTAAGACGAGGCAGAGCGGCAGAAGTACTGCGACGGTCGACGGTCACCATGACGGGTTGTTCGGGATTGAGGTACTAGAACAGAGTCCTTATGAGGTACTAGAGCGGAAATTGTGATTATGGTAAAGATTAAGATGGTCATTGTTAGATGATAGAACAGCAGGTGGCGACAGCCATGGATTGCGAGGATAGGCGTCTTATGGATTCCGAGAGTCCACCAATGAACTGCTTCGAACGAGTAGAATAGCGCTGCTCTAGAAGCTCCAGATGCCTACAATAGAGATGCTCCGCTAACTAGATTAGAAATTATGATTAACGTGACGTTAAGACTCTGATCGCGATTAAGCGTCAAACATAGTTGCTGAGCAGACGACATGGATAGCGAGGAAACTAACTGAACCTAGAGAGGTTCTCCGAATGACTAGAGAATATGTTACGATACTAAGATGAAGATTAGAGCTACGACTGGGACTACGATATAGACCGAACAACCGCTTGGCGATGACGTGTCAGGCGACAGCCATGGATTCCGAGGTAACAAGCCAAACCTAGGAAAGCTAGAGACTGGAATTCAGGAAATGAGATTAGAGTCAGTGCAGTGAGGGTTTCAGAGGAGCACTTCAGTGAAACGAGAGAGACTCAGAGCGGTTGAGAGAGATGCAGAGGAGCAAATGGAGTCAGAAGACCAAGGGCGAGGCGAGGCAGGAGCATGGCAGAAGCGGAGGAGAGGCGCGGAGGTGTCGGCAAGTCGGCGAACAGATCCCGCTGATGTTTCGCAAATGCGCGGGTTACAGATCGCCAGCAGTGAAAATGTTTAGCGACACACACAATTGACATCAGTGAGCAAACTTGCTTGGTGGAAGCCACTGGTTCTGGGCCTTACGCACCTGACAACATCCTAATTGGCGGGAAGGCTTTTGTGAGAGCACATACCACATGTCTTGCATCCAATCATGGTAAATGAATTTCAACTCGATCTAACGGCTCAGCACATCTGAAGAACCTTCTCCGCACATGATTGTGATAAGTTTGCCATGTTTTTCGATTGTGATTTGTATGCCATGGATCGAACCGCTGTTGACCTGCATGCAGATGTCCTGATGTCAGAGGGCAACTTCAAATCTGCGCTGACTTTCAAACATCCTGGACGACGCACTCCGCGCTGGACGTTCATACTGCTCTTTGTGCAGCGCACTAAACAAGTTGTGTAAGAACATCTTCACACCAGCTTTCATAATTTTATAACTCTAATGATTGGATGAGTAGAAAACTATTGCCAACGGCTTGGAAATATGATAGGAGCAATATTGATCGACGCGGCGAAAGTTAGCCAGCCATGCGTGATGCTTCGCAAGATGCTTCATGTACGACGTATCCTACTTGTCTAGTAAGGGGTCTTTGAGAAATCGAGTATTATTACCCAAAAAACGGCATACATTTGGGTATAATAGAATCTGAATACAACCCACCCTACACCAACAACCATCTTCTACATTATACGTGGTAATCTTGAATGTGGTCGGCCGAGCTACCACATCCTAGTGCAGGCCTTGACGCAGAGCCATCCACGCCCCAGCAGATGGTTCTGCTACAAGAAGCAGGAGGGGCACTCCACCCCACGTACCCCTCCCTTGTGCACCTTGCAGATTGATCCCATCAGCACCATGTGTGCAGGCATGCATCCATCCATGCCCGATCTCATGGCTGCACTGCAAGCTGCAAGAGGCATGCGCCTGCATCACACGATCACCACCATGAGCCTCCACCCACACCCACCACCCTCTTGGCCGGGCTATAGGCTCAAGCACCCCCTCACATGGCAAACCACGGGATGTTCACCCATGGGATGATACGCCCATGGGATGATACACCCATGGGATGATACACACATGCGATAATACACCATATAACACATGGCTCACCATGGGGCACATGGCTCACCATGGGAAGATACACCATACAGCACCAGCAGCATCACCGTCACTACCAGCACCAGCACCAAGGTGGAAAAGAGTGGCGGTGGTGGGGTGGTGTGGCAGAGGGAGGGCGGAACCCCCCTGCCTGGGTCTCAGCTTTCTCGGGGGTTTCACCATCCCTTTGCCACATTGCACCACAGAAGGAGGGAGAGAACCCAATGTGTAAGCTGAGCCCCAGGAAAGGAAAGGAGGTTTAGGGTACCAGGGCAAGGCAGTTAAGAGGCAAGAGAGAGGTTGATAATCCCCGGTTAACGCGAGCCTGAGGCAGAGAAGGGGGATTCCCCTGCCCCATGCTCGCATTAACCGGAGGGTTCCAACCCCCCTCCCCCCCCCTGCCCCTCGCTTGCCTTACCCAGGGTGCTCCAACCCCCTTCCCCTGCCTCGATCTCAACATACTCAGACAGTTCTCCACCACCACCACCACCACCACCACCACCACCACCACCACCACCACCACCCACCACCACCACCACCACCACCACCACCCCACCACCACCACCACCACCACCACCACCACCACCACCACCACCACCCACCACCACCACCACCACCACCACCACCACCACCACCACCACCACCACCACCACCACCACCACCACCACCACCACCACCCACCACCACCACCACCACCACCACCACCACCACCACCACCACCACCACCACCACCACCACCACCACCACCACCGACCACCACCACCACCACCACCACCACCACCACCACCACCCACCACCACCACCACCACCACCACCACCACCACCACCACCACCACCACCACCACCACCACCACCACCACCACCACCCACCACCACCACCACCACCACCACCACCACCACCCACCACCACCACCACCACCACCCACCACCACCACCACCACCACCACCACCACCACCACCACCACCACCACCACCACCACCACCACCACCACCACCACCACCACCACCACCACACCACCACCACCACCACCACCACCACCACCACCACCACCACCACCACCACCACCACCACCACCACCACCGACCACCACCACCACCACCACCACCACCACCACCACCACCACCACCACCACCACCACCACCACCACCACCACCACCACCACCACCACCACCACCACCACCACCACCACCACCACCACCACCACCACCACCACCACCACCACCACCACCACCACCACCACCACCACCACCACCACCACCACCACCACCACCACCACCACCACACCACCACCACCACCACCACCACCACCACCACCACCCCACCACCACCACCACCACCACCACCCACCACCACCACCACCACCCCACCACCACCACCACCACCACCACCTCTACTCACCACCACCCCTCCACGCCACCACCAGCACCACCCCCTTCTCACCAGCGCCAACACCACCCCTCCACACCACCACCAGCACCACGCCTTCCCGCCAGCACCCCTCTACGCCACCACCTCCCTGTCTCACCAGCACCCCTCCACGCCACCAGCAGCAGCACGGTCACACATCCAGCTCGCCCCAGCCACCATCCACTCACCCGCCAGCAGCACGAGAGGCACACAGCACAGACCCCTTAGAAGCAGCACCGGCAGTACCCATGGCGCTGAGGTGCCAAGTGAGGCAGGAGGCAAGCACACGGTAAGCCCAAGATCCAATTACCCCTCACCGGCGTGGCAAGAGCTGGCACGAGACAGAACCATTCGGCCGCAATGGTTCTGCCATGGGCCCATTATGCATTAACGCGCGGGTATTGCGATTGGACACAGAGTGCTTGACACGTGTACTTGCACTGCCTCACCCAACCCCCATTGCGTATAGTACTGAAGGTGCCGCCCCCAGAAGCCTGCACCGCATGCCATCCCCCACCCTGCCCACCCTGCCCCACCCACCCACCTCCATCCCCTCCCCCACGCCTTCAGCTTACCTCACTTACCACCGCCATGCACAGCCAAGGGATGCGAAGCTGCTGGGGGAAGGGAGGGGGGTGGTGGGGTGTGAGCGACTCTCCTCTGCTCCCCTTCTTGCTCCAGGGCACCAAGGGGTGGGAAGCTGCTGGGGAGAAAGAGGAGAGGGGGTGTGAGAAACTCTCCTCTGCTCCTCAAATTGCTCCAGGGAAGCTGTAGAGGGAGGCAGGGAGGAGAAAGAGGAGGGGAATGTGGGGAATGCCGCAATACCATACCTGCACCATACCATACCATACCTGTACCTCGCTCTCACTAAACGTCCTAGCCCGCCCTCTAACTGCCCTCGGCTATTCTGCTGCCCAGCTGCCCTGTATCCGCTGCTGCTGCTGCTGCTGCTGCTGCTGCTGCTCAGCTACAGGCTCTGCTGCAGTCTTGCTTGCTGCTGCCAAGTGACCTGCCAGGAACGGGGGGGGGGGGAGGAGGGGGTGGTTTGTGAGGAGGAAGGGGGAAGAGAGAAGTGAGTGGAAAAAAGGGAGTGCCAACTAAGACAAACCAGAGAGTGAACGAGCAGAAAATGCAGCAGAAGGGAAAAGGGCTTACCTTGAACAGCCGAGCCCAGCCCAGATACTCTCCCTAGCAGCATAGTGCATTGCTGCTGCTGCACCGCTCTCAGCTACACGCTCTGCACCACTCCCTCCTGCTAGGTGTCCTGCCAGGAGGGAGGGGAGGGGGTGTAGGGGGGTGGTGAGGAGGACGGGAGAAGAGAGAAGTGAGTGCAGGGAAGGGTGAGCCAACTGAAGCAGAACCAGGAAGTGAACGAACAGGTGCTGCAGCAGGGAGGACAGGGGCTTACCTTGAACAGCCGAGCCCACCCCAGATATTCTCCCTTGCAGCAGGATCCACTGCTGCTGCTGCTGCTGCACCGCTCTCAGCTACAGGCTGTGCTGCCGACTTGGCTTGCTGCTGCCAGGTGACCTGCCTGGAGGGAGGGGAGGGTGAAGGGGGTTGGTGAGGAGGAAGGGAGAAGAGAAAAGTGAGTGCAGGGAATTGAGACCCCACTGAAAAGTGATTGCAGGGAAGGGAGACCCCATTGAAAAGTGATTGCAGGGAAGGGAGACCCTACTGAAAGTGATCGAGCAGGCATTACAGCAGAAGGAAAGGGGCTTACCTTGAGCGGCCGACCCCACCCCAGTTACTCTCCCCCCTTGCAGCACAAGGCGTCCCTTGTGCGTGCCTGCACGGCCACAGGGGAGGGGCGTGAGGGAGTGTCGGTGTTGACCCAACGCCCCTCCCCAGCACCTGCAATGCACACACACGGCAATGGTCAATGTGCATGGCATGGCAGCAAGCACAAGCCACGGCCTGGAAACTGCCGAGGCTGGAAGAACAAGGGAGGGGCCACTGGTGGAGCCACGGCCACACGCCACAGACCCCAAGGGAACCTGCCCCTGGGGGGGGGGGGGGTCAGCACCTGCATCTGGGGGGGGGACGGGGGACCTGAACCTGAAGGGGGGGGAACCTGAGGGGGGGGGGAACCTGAGGGGTTACCTGAAGTAGGGGGGGTCTGTGGCCTGTGAGGCGGGCCCAACCAGTGGCGTTGTTTTCAAGGGAAGAATTTGAAAGCACGAGCAAAGAAAGAGAGAAGTAAAACGAGCAGCAGGGTCATTGCGAGGCTGGAACCAGGGAGGGGGGGTCACTTACTGGGTTGGCTGGCTGCAGGTGAGTTCAGGCAGGCGCAGGCAGGCACGGAGCACATGGAGGCAGCAGGCATGGCGTCCCAGCCGCACAGCCGACGCAGGCCCCAGCAGCGCTGCCTGGCGCTTGAGCTCCTGCAACGGGGGGAATGGGGGGAGGAGAGGAGGGGCGAGGGAGGGGGGGTGAAGGGGGGGAGGGGAGGGGAGGTACAAGTGAGTGGGATGGCAACGCGAGTGTGGAAGGGGATGGGGTATGCGAGCGGAAGGAGGGCCACTGGTGAAGACACAGCTGCAAGCCACACACCCAAGGGAAGATATACCTGCAGTGAGGGCTGTACCTGAAGGCTTAACCTGGGGGGGGGGATTTACCAGCAGTAAGGAGGGTCTGTGGGTTGTTCACTGCGCTTTCACCAGCGGCACCGTTTTGTGAGGAAAAGAAAACGAGGGCGAGAATCAAGGCGAGAAGAGGCGTGCAAGGGTGGGCGAAGGGAGGAGCGAGCACTTAGCTGATGCTGTGAGCGCGTGCACAAGGCAGGCGAAGTATTACGAGGTGCCTTCAGCTGCCGCCAGGTGGCTCACGCACACCCCAGGTGCTTGCTTGCTGCCCCGCCTCCGTGCAAGGGTGAGCTGCCAGGAGGGAGGGGAGGGGGTGTAGGGTGGTGAGGAGGACGGGAGAAGAGACAAGTGAGTGCAGGGAAGGGTGAGCTCACTAAAACAGAGCCAGAAAGGGAACGAGCAGGCATTGCAGCAGAAAGAAAGGGGCTTACCTTGAGCGGCCGAGCCCACCCCAGATACTCTCCCTTGCAGCTGTCCCGTGTGCGTCCCTGCACAGCCACAGGGAAGGGGCGTGAGGGAATGTCGGTGTTGACCCCACGCCCTCCCCTCCACGTGCAATGCACACACACGGCAGTGGTCAGTGCCATCCCATCAGTAGCAACTAGAAGAAGGAATTGCAGAATCTTGAAGGCGATGGAAGGAAGGGGCCACTGGTGGAGGCACGACCACACGCCTCAGACTCCCAAGGGGACCTGCAGTGGCTGAACCTGAGGGGATACCGGAGGGGTTACCTGCACCTGAGGGGTTACCTGAGGTGGGGGTCTGTGGCATGTGAGGCGGGCCTCAACCAGTGGCGTGGTTTGAAGGACGAAGAAGCAACAATTGAAAGGTTCGAGCACTAGCAGTGAAAGCGACACAGAAGGCTTGGTGTGGGTAGGGAGGTTTACTTAGCTTAACACGCGGGAGTGGCTGCAGCAGCTTTAGAGAGGGCGTTGGAAGAGCAGCCGCGAGTGGGGAAGGGCCAGCGACCACAGCATCACCCCAGCAGTCCGAGCACTTGAGTTCCTGCAAGGGAAGGGAGGGTGGAAGAGGGGGGGGGGGGAGGGTGCAAGTAGAGATAAGTGAGAAGGCAGCGATTGCTGCAGTGAGGGTAAAAGGGGATGCATGCATGCGTGGTGAATTGGAGCAGCAAGGAAAGGGGCCACTGGTGGACGCACAGCTACACGCCACAGACCCGAAGGCTTGCACCTGGTAAATACCTGCAGTGGGGGGGTACCTGAAGGCTTAACCTGAGGGGGGTATTACCTGCAGTAAGGGGGGTCTGTGAGCCGTACACTGTGCAGCCACCAGTGGCACCATTTTATGGGAGAACGAAACGAAACGACGACAAAAGCGACAAGGCATGCAAGGGTGGGTGAGCGGAGGAAGCAAGCACTTAGCTGATGGTAGGAGAGCGCGCGGAACGAAGCTGAGGGAGGTGCTTGTCGCCTGCCGTTTGGCGCTTGACTCATAAGGAAGCCGAAGCAGCGTCAGGTGCTCGCGTGCTGTCCCCCCAGCGTCCCCCACTGCTCCTCGCAACCAGCGGCCAAGTGACCTGCCAAGGGGAGAGGGGGCGGGGGGAAGAGGAGAGCCAAGTGAGGCGAGGGGATAGCAGCAGAGGCGTGCGCTGCAGCGCTGGCACGTGCAGCATGCCTTGGAGCAACGCTCGCGCCTGGTGCATCCCCTGAAGCAGCTCCGACACCTGGGGGAGGGGGAGAGGGGCGTAGGGGTGGAGGGGGAGGGAGGGGGGGGTCGCCCATGGCACACAAGCACGAGCGAGCAGCAGCGAGGGGAGACGGCGAGGAGGAGGAGACTCACGCGTGCACGCAGCGACAGGTCTAAGTCTGACGACGCCTAACCCGCTAAGAACTGGACCCTATGCAGGCGGGCCAAGCAAGCGCCGTGGCCATGGGCTCCGGGGGGGAGGGAGGAGGGGGGTAGGGAGGGAGGGGGGGTGAGAATGAGCAACTGGAGGGGTGGGGTGCATGGGGTCAATGGTGCACGGGCAAAGCAAGCCAAATCGCATGGAGTCAATGGATTGGGTGAACGGCGCACGGGCAAAGAGCACGCGAGGGAATGGAAAGGGCCTTGCACTTAGCTTCGCAGACGCGGTTGAGAGAGGCGACGCTCGGTTGCCGTGCGTGCTGAGCGCCGTGCGTGCTGAGCGCCGTTTGTGCTGAGCGACGCACGCTGTCACGCGCATGCAGGGAGCCACGGGTGTGCAGGCCGCCTGCCTGAGTGGCTGAGCTGCTCGCCGCGTTGCAACTCAATGCCTTGGCTTCGATGTGTTCACGCCCTGCAGTAAGACACGACGAACCGAGTCAGAGGCTAACAGAGGCTGGACTCTAACAGGCGAAAAGGTAAAAGTGGCTCCAGCAGGACTGGAGGCAGTGCAGCGAGGCATGTCACGGTTCCCACCTTGAATTGTAGCAGCAGCTCGGGAGGCGGCAGCAGCTCGGGAGGCGGCAGCAGCTCGGGAGGCAGCAGCAGCTCGGGAGGCAGCAGCAGCTCGGGAGGCAGGAGGAGCTCGAGTTGCAGCAGCAGCCTTCAACTCATCTGTGTTTCGCCAAAGCATCAGACATGCCATTGCACACAGACGCAAGGAGAACGCCTCGACGCTCCACTTTGTTGACGCATAGTAAATAATATCTGCACACGATAAAATAAAATGTCAGATAAAAATCGATTTCGTAAGGAAAAAAGAACGCGAAGTACCGAAGAAAAGGTTTTGACGCTTGACATGCCATCTACGACTTACACACGCAGCATCAGGAAGTCGTCTTGCACGGACGCTTGAAGTGCACCTCAACGATTCAACGATTCGCGTAAAGCCTGCATATCAGTAAAAAAAGAACGTCAGTTTCTCTAGGAAAAAGAAAGTGGAACGTTTTAATCACCTACCTTGTCGTTGTGGTACTGTGGAGTTGCAGTTCGTCCTCCTTGATGGTCGGCTGATGGCTGGCGGATTAGCAAAATGGCGGATTGCGGATGTTGCATTAACTGGAAAGGAGAAAAACAGCAGCGTCAGAATCGCTCACGAAGTATTGAAAGAAACACAAACTGAAACAAGTGGGAAAACTACCTGTGTTGAAGCACGACGTAGTGGAACGAGACTCCATAAAGCCAGCAGCGAGCGTGTTGGCGTTCGTGATGCACGTGAGGCAAAGCGCTGATAAAGCTTGTAAACGCGCTGGAGAAACAGCCACGGCCGAAGTGCGAATGTGCAAATGCGCGAGGGTACTACATCTACAAGGAGATTGAGTTGGAGATGAACGCTGAAATGAATGTGCAAATGTCTCGGCTGAATTTACTAAAACGATGCCTGATTGGAATGTCGCTCCTGGGAAATGCCTGGTTGAAATGTGGCTCAGAAAAATGTCTGGTTGGAATGTCGCTCGGAAAAATGCGTGTTCGGAATGTCGCTCCCCGCAAATTCCTGCTTTGAATGTCCGTGCTGGGAATTCCCACGGCAAACCCAAGGGGGTGGGGGTGGGTTTGGGAGTGTGGGTTTCAACACTCGCGGTTCGGTGGACGGCTGCGAAATTACCGAATCGTGCCTTTTGGAGCCAAAGCCGCGCGACTCCGAAGCGAGAAGGTTCGGAAATCGAGGCTGGGGTGGAGGGATGGCCGTTGGGACAAAAAGAGGGGACCGATGGAGCTAGAGTCGTTGGATTATTTCTAAATCGAAACAGATCTACGGCTCAGATTGATTGAGTAAACGTTATCGCCAGGCGGGAACGGAAAACAGTCAAATCGAAACGAAGCAAAGCGACTCGTGTGATTTTCGCGCCAGATGGTTAGCCAATCGGGGAGAACCTAACCCTAGCCGTTCAAGGAAACCCTCTGTGGTGGGAGCTTTGGTTGGATAAGGCTTCCCTGCTCCCCCTCTGCCTCTCAGGGGGAACCAACTGATGTTCAGTGAAGGCCAGGGAAGGGAGGCCTGTAAGGGAGACGGCGAAACGTATTGGCGATCTTTCTTGGTGGGGCTGGACAGTAGGGGCGAGGTTGACGAAAACTCAATTATGTAACAGCAACTGTTGCCTTCTGGGAACATATGAAGGAACTTCCTCGAAAACGTTGCTCATTGCGAAATCTTGATTTGTAACGAGCACCTAATAAGGGCTGTTTTTAGTAGGTGTCATGCCGAGAAAGTATCATCCGAGAATTTGGAAACCCATCGAAACCGTTATTTCAAAACTTCAACGGTTGCGATGGGTTTCCAACATTCTCGTATGATACTTTTTCAGTTTGACACCTACTAAAAACACGCCCTGAGCATGTTTAGGTCCGCTTCAGGTCAGGCTGTCCTAACCTGGACACCGTACGTATATTTACGGGAGTCTGTTCTGCGGCGTACAAGTTTCACATTCTCGTAAGCGGCAGCAGGGATGTGCGTGAGGCTTACCAATTTCGCAAGCTGGTTGGGTTTGCCCCGGGGAGGTTGGTGCGGAGATCCAGTACAGAATTATGAATCTGTTTTTCGGCTTTTCCCCTAATCACAGGATAAATTATACAGAAGTATTTTCCCGCCCCCCCTTGGGATTTTTCTTCTCCTGCCTGCACCCCAACTTGACTGCCTCCCAGCATCCAGGAACTGAAGCCGTGCCTGACTGGGAGCACTCGATCGACTCGAGCTAGAAGACCCCTGGGAGCTTTTCTTCCATCCTGATTCGCTGTTCATCTTCCAATAGAAACTTTGCTTGCAATTCTTGTTCCAGCGTCCTGGCTGATACGACAATGTCTAGGTACAACAAGGACTATGGCGGGTGGTAGTTAGGGCCGCGACATACGGACAGTGGCAGCATGTAGTGAAGGTATTCGTTGACAGAATGGATCGCTTATTATGACTGATTACTTCAGTGCGACTGGAAGCCTATATATTTTTCACGGTGTGTAACGGAGCCTCGTTAGAGATCCGTCAGAATGCCTCGTGCTTGTCTTTCCGTCAGTCGTCGTCGGCTAGTATCGCTCACAGCCGCGAGGCTCGCACCTTCCGCGTTCCTTCTTTCCGAATCCCTCTCGATCGTACCTCAGGCCCACCCTGATACCTCAGGTCGTCACCCTGAAATCGCTCCTCATTCGCACCCTTTTGTTATTGCGTCTCGCGCTTCGTCTTCAGATGCTGTCGCAAAATCGCGTCGTTCTGAACTCGCTACAGGTGGTTCGTTATGCTCCCTAAGATCAGATCTGCGATGCAGAGGACCCATGGCTCTCTCGCACGATCCCGTCGCCGTTAGTCGCGTCCAAGGTATCGCACGTGTCGCACATGTCGCACGGCTCCATCAACACGCGGGATCTGAGGTCGCGCAGCGTGCCACGTCAGCAGACGCGCAGCTAGCGACGTCGGCAGATCCGATTTCCGAGCAACCTGGCGGCGAATCAGCGGTGGAGGAGGTCGGCGCGACGACCGTGTTTGACGCCGATAATGACCGTCGCAGCGATCGGCTCGAAGAGCAGCGCGCCGATGCGGAACCTTCGCCGCTTGGGTCGCATGGAGCGGGAGAAACAGCGGCGGAGGCTGCGAGAGAGGCTGGAAGAGATATCCGCCATCCGACGGTGGAGATCAGCCGTGTGGCGATGGACATCGGGCATCCGTCGCAGCGATCGCTGGACGAGAGGCTCAAGGAGGGCGATGTGGCGGCGCTCGAGGTGGGGCTGGTACTCCAGGAGTGAGTGTGAGCAAGTGTGGGCGGAAAATTGGTGGGTGTGTATGGTGAGGGGAGAGGGCGGGGGGGGTGGGGGAGCAGGGGGAAGTGGGGGGGAAGACAGCAGCTTACGCCGACTGACGGACGCGTCGTCCTCGGTACGCGGACGGACCGACTGCTTCGTGCGCGTGGCTCTGCCTCCTCCATGGCGGCGAGTGACCGAGGCGGGAGAGATCTGAGGCGCCAAATAGCCACCGTTTCCCAACTCTTCTCTCCCCCCCCTTCCCCTCCCCACTCAGATCCCAACGGAGTCGCGGCGGGCGTTCGAAGAGACATGGACGGGAGTGATCACGGCGGCGGGGGTTCCGAGATGCACAACAGCCACTGCTTCCCACCCCTCCTCCCCGCTCCTTTCCCCCAACCACCGCTCTCAGGTTTCAACGGAGTCGCGCCGGGCGTTCGAGGAGGCGTGGCAGGGGGTGATCGAGGCTGCGGGGCTTCTGAAATGCATAGCAGTAAATCCCCCCCCCCCCCCAACAACCCCCACTCAGATTCCAACGGAGTCGCGGCGGGCGTTCGAGGAGGCGTGGCAGGGAGTGATAGAGGCGGCGGGGGGCGAGGAGCGCCTGTCGCCGCCCAAGGAGATCGTGTGGCTCAACGGCGCGCCGGGCGCTGGGAAAGGCGCAAATACGCCCTTCATCCTGCGCACCCGCGGGTTCGAAGGTTAGTGGGTGTGTGGTTGGCTGGTATGCAGGCATGACAATGTGTGTGCTGCGGCGACGGTTGCCTTGACGGGGCTTTATTCAGCGCTGGGAAGGGCGCCAACACGCCTTTTATCTTGCGCACACGCGGGTTTGAGGGTGAGTGTTGTGGTGAAGACACCTTGACATATGCGCAAGGAAGGACACTGTGAGGATGAGTGGGTGGTGGTGCGTCTGATGTTTCCTTGTGTCCCTCCAGCCCTCTCACTCACGCACGCACTCATTCTCTCACTCTCTGTCTCTCCAGCGCGCGCCATCCAAGTGAGCGACCTGCTGGGCGGCAACGAGGACGTGTCGGCCATCATGAGGAGCGGAGGGCTTGTTTCAGACTCCATGGTGCTGCAGATCGTCCTTCAGGTGATCCCTCAGGTGCTGCAGGTAAGTCTGCGTTTGAGGTGACTTGAACGCAGTATTGGCCCTCAGGTGCTGCAGGTGAGTGCTGCAGGTGAGTGCTGCAGGTGAGCCGTCAGTGTGCTTCTATGTCTTATAATTGAGGATCCACTCTCTCACATGCACGTGTCTGTGTGCATGTGCATGTGTGCATCGCTGTATCCTCACAGCGCATTCTGACCCTCTCCCCCATTTCTCTCCCCACAGCGCATTGTATCCAACCCTGGGCAACACGCCAGCCATGCTACAGGACACGGACCACGGGAGGTGGTGGCTTGGGCGCCTCACAACATGCATGGTGTCTCATAGCATGCATGCCTGTGTTAATTCCCTCCTCCCCTTGCTCTCCCCACAGCGCATACTAACCCTGGGCAACACGCCAGCCATGCTACAGGACGCGGATCACGGGGAGGTGGTGGCGAATCCAGAGGCGGGCGGCAAAGTGGCGGGCGCTGTGGTGGACGGCTTCCCGCGCACCACAGTGCAGGTCGACTTCATCAAGATGCTCTACGATAGGTGGGTGGGTGAGATGGACCAATAGCAGCTGGGGTGTGAGTGAGTTTAGGTCAGTGTTGGTTAGATCTGAACGGCCGGGAGATGCTGGGCTGTGGTGGGCGGCTTGGATTACGAGTAGACTCGGGTGGCCACTATGTGCTGTGGTGGGCGGCTTGGATTACGAGTAGACTCGGGTGGCCACTATGTGCTGTGGTGGACAGCTTCCCGCGCACCACGGTGCAGGTGGGCTTCATCAAGATGCTCTACGACAGGTGGGTGGGTGGTGAGTGGTTTGTATCGCAAGTCACCAGGGGCTGGGTGGACGAGTTACCACGCACCACGGTGCAGTGAACTTTGCCAAGATGCTCCTTGACAGGTTAGCGTTTGAGTACTGGCGTACAGCAGCTGGGATATGATTCTATGGCGTCGAGTGCATGACCCTATAGCCGAGTGCATGACCCCATGGCCGAGTGCATGACCCCATGGCCGGGTGCATGACCCCATGGCCAAGTGCATGACCCCATGGCCGAGTGCATGACCCCATGGCCGAGTGCATGACCCCATGGCCGGGTGCATGACCCCATGGCCGAGTGCATGACCCCATGGCCGAGTGCATGACCCCATGGCCGAGTGCATGACCCCTTGGCCGAGCCACTTACTTCCACAGCGGGACGTGAGTTGTTTGCTCACTTGCTGTTTCTTGATCTCCCCTCCCGCCTGTCCTCTCACCCCAGGTTGATGGAGCAGCATCAGAAGTACATAAACACGCCCTTGGAAGCCCAGTTCCCGCGGCCCATCTTCCGCATTGCCGTCCTGTGAGTTCTGTGCTCTTCCTCCGAGGACTGGAGGTTCGTGTGTGGGATCTCACTTACGCAACCCAGATTCCGCTTAGCTTTCCTGTGAGTTGCTTGTGTGTTGAGCAGCCATAATGTCACGCAATAAAAAAAACCCGCCAGATTCCACTTCTGTTCCCTTGTCTGTTGCCCAGCTCCGTGGTGTCCATCTAGACTCTGCGCATGACTCCCTCGTGATGCCAGGCAGACCAGCTTGGTTCGTGACCCACCTTCAATTCCTCTCTTCCCCCACTACCTCCCCTCCCAACCCCCCCCTGCAGGTACGTGGAGGAGGAGGAGAGCGTGCGGCGGCAGCTGGCGCGGGGCAGAGCGGCCATTCAGCACAACCAGCGGGTGGTGGACAGCGGGATAGGGGAGCTGCAGGAAGTGAGGGCCACTGACCTGTGGTGAGGACTGAGGCGGGGGCTTTACTGCATGTATTTGTGTGTGAGGCGAATGAGAATCACAAGGGGCAGAGCGGCCAGCACAGCCAGCAGGTGGTGGACAGCGGGATAGGGGAGCTGCAGGAATTGAGGGCCACGGATCTATGGTCAGAAATCAGTGGGATTGTTGCATGTATGGTGAGAATCAGTGGGATTGTTGCATGTATGGTGAGAATCAGTGGGATTGTTGCATGTATGGTGAGAATCAGTGGGATGGTTGCACGTTTGGTCCGAATCATTGGGATGGTTGCATGTATGGTGAGAGCTGAAGGTGGCAAGAAGGGGAGCTGCAGGAAGTGAGGGCCACTGACCTGTGGTAAGGCTAGTGATTAGTGCATGCGTGCATGTGTGTATGGTGAGGTGAGAGGTGGTGACGGGTGAGGGGAATGAGGGCCACGTGTTCGGGGGCAGCACTACCACACGCTGCTGAAGCTCTCAAGCTCTCTCACCGCTTCCCTTCCCTTCGTCTTTCGTTCCGTGTCCTATTCCTCCTCTCGCTCCCTCAGTGAGAAGTCGGCCCGGCGCCGCTACCACATATTCCGGCAGCACTACGACACCCTGCTGCGCCTCAAGGCGTTCTTCCCCTTCCACCTCATCGACGGCATGGGCACGCTGGCCGAGTGCAGGGAGCAGGTGAGGGGGGAGCCTTGCATAGTGAAGTATGCGGCATGGGCATGGGCATGGGCATGGGCATGGGCATGCGAGCGGGACATGGGCACAATGCTTGAAGCTAAAGGCGTTCTTGCCCTTCCACCTCATCGACGGCATGGGCACTCTTGCTGAGTGCAGGGAGAAGGTGAGGGGGGAGCCTTGAGCAGTGATGTACGGGGCATGGGCATGGGAGGGGGACATGGGTTCAACTCTTGACCACCATCCGAGGCATCCTCTGCTTTCTCTTCTCTCGCCCCTCTTCTCCTCCCCCTCCCTCTATTCTATGGGCAGATCGAGAAGGAGCTGCAGTACAAGAGCGCGTTGGAGGTCAACCTGTGGTGTTGAATCAACTTAACAGCAGTCCCTTCTCTCTTCTCTCCTCTCTACGCGGTGCTGCTCTATGCGGCTCGTCTTGGGCAGATCGAGAAGGAGCTGCAGTACCAGAGCGCCTTGGAGCTCAACCTCACCACCTTCCGGGCCATCAGCCACATCCCTCTCGCCTCTGTACGCTTTGGGTTTGCCTTTTATTTGGTGTGCCTCTTGTTTAGTACCTAGCCCTGTTCTGTGTGCCACCCAACGTATCTCAACTTCTCCCCATTCCTAGCTTGTTCTCAGCCACATGCCACTCGACTCGGTGTGCCTTTGCTTGTTTCTACCCCTCCCTCCCCCCTACCTCCTGCATTCGTTCCTGCCCACCTCACACCTCACATGCCACCTCACATGCCACCTCACATCCCATCAGGACATAGCCAAGTATGCAAGGCAGAACATGGTCACTCGCTTGGACAGCTACCAGCAGAAGGACCCGAGGACGTTCAAGGAGGTACCGCCTGGCGCCCTGTCTCATCTGCTCCTTGCCCGTTGTGGTGTTATGTACTGTCCCTCCTTTTTATCCAGTCGCTTGCAAGCGGCTGGTGTGGTGCAAGAGGATGAACTGCTGCCCATCCTTTTATCCAGTCCCCCCTATGCCTTCCCATTGTGGTTCTCTTAAACCTTATCCCGCCCTCCATGCCCCATGCCCCATGCCCCATGCTGCGTGCCCCCTGCCCCATGCAGGTGATCGCAGTGATCGATTCGCAGGTGATCCCCATCATCCACCATAATACGCCCCACTCTACCTATGCCACCCCCCTATTCCCCATCCCCCTATGCCCCATGCCCCATGCCCCATGCCCCATGCCCCATGCCCCATGCCCCATGCAGGTGATCGCAGTGATCGACTCGCAGGTGACCCCCATCACATGCCCCACTGAACCTATGCCATCCCCCCACGCCCCATGCCCCCTGCATCAGGTGATCGCAGTGATCGACTCGCAGGTGATCCCCATCATCCGCCGCTCCGCCCTCTCAGGTTTCGCCATCTTCAACACCGAGCTTCCAGTGTTCTTCGACCAGCCAGGTGCGCCTCTTCTTCTTCGGCTGTAAGACCTTCCCTCTTGGATGCCCTTCCTCCTTCTTACGCCTCCTTCTTACGCTTCGCCCTTCCTCTCTTCAGGCTGGCCACATGCCTGCTCTTGGATATTCATATCCTCTCATTTCTTACCCTTCCCTCCTTGTTTCCCCATTCGCCCCATGCCCCCAACCCCCACAGGCGCGCCTCAAATGCTCGCAGACATTCTAGCAGAGCGGGGCTACTTTGTGTACTGGCAGGTAGGATGTAACTAGAATTTTTATCAACTATTGCATGAAATTGTTGGTATCTAGGCGAGTACCAGGATTCGGCTATGCCTTTTTTTTCCCTCAGACCTTCAATCAATCATCAGTTATACACAGAAACTGTAAACGCAAGGTGTGTAGAATCTGCTTTCTCCGTCCTTCTAGATCCGATTCAGCTTAGACCCCACCACCTTTGCCATCAAGTGTCTGCGCCGCATCACCCTCTTCCCTAAAACCAAATTCTCCCCCCTCCCGCCTTCCCTTGCCCCCCCTTCACCCCACCCCAGACCCGTATCCGAGAGGTGCCCGTGCGCATCGACCCCGCCACCTTTGCCATCGAGTGTCTGCGGCGCACCACCATGGAATTCCGTATCAAGTTCGACCGCCCCCTCATCCGCTCCTCCGACGCGCTCTCCTCCCTCTCCGCCTCCTCCTCCTTCCTCACCGCCACCGCTGCCAAGGCCTCTGCCTCCTCTCGCTCTCTCCTCATGCCGCATTCGGCGACCTTTGACCCGCCGCCAGAGACCAAGGCCGGTGATATGTGCCCCTCGTTCCCGGGGGGCAATCCGCCGTGCTTCGTGCCGGATAAGAAGTTGAGCGGAGGGAGTGGGAAGAGAGTCGGTCAGGAGAAGGGTGTTGGGTCGGACGCGGTAGGTGGGTGTGGGAGTGCTGGGAGTTGTGGCAGCGGTGGTGGTAGCGGTGGTAGTAGCGGAGGTTGTGGCGGCAGTGGTGGCGGCAGTGGTGGGTGTGGAGGGTCTGCCAAGGTGGTCAGAGTGCCAGGGTTGGCAGGGGGGGCGATCACTCGGCCTGAGGGGTGCCCGCCCTTGCCTCCCTGGGTTCCCACAGGGGAGAAAAAGAAGTGAAGGGCTGCAGTTAGTGGTCCCGCAGTTCAGTGAGCGCTACTGTAGTGAAGTCTTGGTGAATGCAGAGGAGCACGCAAGGTGGGGGGCTGGCAGGGGAGGGGCGATCACTGGGCATGAACAGTGTCCGCACTTGCCTCCATGGGTGGGTTGGGTTCCCTTCCAGCGGAGAAGACATGGAGGGGTACCGTAATAGGAGACATAAGGATTCTGCAGCATGCCTGTTTGGTATGGGTTGACTCGATTCAAGGTTTGACATTCATACTGAACGCAACTAGTAATGACGGGCTTCATAAATGCTAGATGAAGGTGTCTCTGCGCTGGTGGTGTGGCTAAAATTTTCTGTATCTATCCATTGGGTGAGTGTCTTGTGGAGCATATGTATGCAATCCATATCTGGGTTTATACATTATTGGTGAAGAAATGTATGTACCAATTTTATCGCATTTTGGATACTTTTTGCATGTATGTGTCACCTTATACAAATGTCTTATGTGTAGAAGTTAAAGGCGGGAGGGGTTCGTCCTCTTAGGGAGTACAACGCCAAACTATCTCCCCTGACCCCATCCTGAAGGCGTGTCATAAAAGTGCGTACGAGCGATTTTTCACAAACATTACGTACCAGACGACCATACTGAAACATGTACCATCAAGTGTAAACAAGACATCCGTGTCCACGGTGTCAGTTTTACACTGGCCCGCGAACTCGTCACCCGCGCGAACACGGCTCGCCATCAAGTAGCGCAATTGGTTTGTCCACCACTTGGGGGACGTGGTCTGTATTGGCGAGTGTACCAGGCGACGTGTAGGGAGATGTCGATTTGACATCCAAATTTGCGTGCTTCTTGTCCCGGATTGGGCCGACGTGCTTGTACGTGTCCCCCGGGACATTTCTGGGTCCAGTTACAGACGCAAAAGTGGTAACGATACCTCGTTTGAGAACTCATACATATCTTTAGGACACGCCTTGATTTCACTTCTCCATTCTAACACATCCTAGGTACCCCCGCCCCAGCCCCGCCTTGTTCACTTCTCCTTCCTGGGTTCCTGCCCACTTCTCCAGTTCGACCTAGCCTACCTTAGTCTTAGAGCGCCCCGCCCGTAGCGCCCAAGTAGCGCGCCCCGCCCTTAGAGCTCCCCACCTGTAGCGCGCTCCGCCCGTAACACTCCTCGCCCCTCGCGCGCGCCGCCGGCCCCTACTCGCAGCGCCGGCCCTAGCTCGCCGCGCTGGCCCTAGCTCGCCACGTCGGCCTCGGCTCGCCGCGTAGGCCCCAGCTCGCCGCGCCAGCCCCTGTTCGCCACCGGCCCTAGCTCGCCGCGCCAGCCCCTGCTCGCCACCGGCCCTAGCTCGCCGCGCCAGCCCCTGCTTGCCACCGGCCCTAGCTCGCCGCGCCGGTCCCTGCTCGCCGCGCTGGCCTCTGCTCGCCGCGTCGGCCCCAGCTCGCCGCGCCGACCCCAACTCGCCGCGTCGGCCCCAGCTCGCCGCGCCGGCCCCAGCTCGCCGCGTCGGCCCCAGCTCGCCGCGTCGGGCCCAGCTCGCCGCGTCGGCCCCAGCTCGCCGCGTCGGCCCCAGCTCGCAGCCGGCCCCTGCTCCGCGCCGGCCTCTGCTCGCCGTGCTGGCCCCAGCTCGCCGCCGGCCCCGGCTCTCCGCGCCGGCTCCCGCTCGCCGCGCAGCCTCGCTGCCGCGCCGGCCTCTGCTCGCCGCCGTGCCGGCCTCTCCGCGGCGCCGCGCCGGCCTCTCCGCGGCGCCGCGCCGGCCTCTCCGCGGCGCCGCGCCGGCCTCTCCTCGCCGCCGCTGCCGGCCCTGGATCCACCGCTCTCCACTGCACTCCATCGCCCTCCAATGCACTCCACCGGTCCCCACCACCCTCCACCGCACCCGTCTGCACCCGGCTCCTCCCCCTCCTCCTGTGTCCTTCGTTGCTGCAGCAGTGCTGTCGTGCGGCCACTGCTGGTGAGCTGCAGCCGCCTCTGCTGACACCCGGGCGCCATGGTGAACGTCGTTCTCCGCCTGGACGCCAAGGGCCGGGCGGTGGATTTTGAGGCGTGGCTCGCCGACTTGCGCCTCCACCTGAAGGTTCAGCGTCAGGATGGCCAGTCACTGGCCGTCCACGTCGACGGTAAGTTGCCCTGCCCTCCCGCGCCTGCTGCCCTCGCTTCCGACGCCACGTCTGCTGAGCGTGAGGTTTTCACAGCTGTTGAGCTAGCTCGCTCTATCTGGGTGTCTCGTGATGCCGCTGCGCAGCTAGCCATTAGTCGCGCCCTCCCGCTGTCGGAACGTCCCCACTTTCGGGCCATGGAGATTGCGAAGGAGTTTCTAGATGCCGTTATCGCTCGCTATTCCACTCCTTCCTCCGCCTCTGCTGGCCGTCTCCTCCTGTCCTTGCTCTTCCCTGACCTAGCTTCCTTCTCCACTGTCGCTAATCTGGCCAACCACCTGCGCGCTCTAGAGTCTAGCTACCGCGCTGCTAGCATTGAGGCTCAGCTCAGTGTATTCCCCCCTCCCATCGGCGTCCCTCTTTATCTCATCGCCATGCGCCTCCCTGACCGCCTAGCCACCGCCCGAGACACCTTCCTTAGTCTTCACCCCGCAGACCTCACCCTTGCCGACTTTGTCGCCACCCTGTCGGCGATAGAGACCCGCGAGCGCACTATCGCACAGTCCAACGGTACTGCGGCGGTCCCTATCTTCCAGGGCTGTGCTCCTTCCCAGTACACTTACTCTGACGCTTACGCCACGGTCGCTGAGACCGCTGCGGCGGCCTCCGCGCAGCCTTGTCAGGGTAGGGGCCGCCGTCGCCCTAGAGGGGGGCGCGGGGGAGGGAAGGGTGCTGGGGGTAGTCGGGGTGGTGAGGGTGGCGGGAGTGCTGGGGTTGCAGATGAGGGGGTGGAGGCTGACGCCCTAAGGGAGCAGCAGCAGTGGGGGCCCCCGCCGCCGTGGTGGCCCGGCGACTTTTGTGGTGGTGGCCGCAGAGGCAGCCCTTGGAGGTCACCGTCGGGTGGTGGCACCAGTTCGGTGAGTTGCCAGTACTAGATCCGGTCTGGTCCCCTCTCGATGCTGGGTGCTCCTGATGCTGGGTGCTCTCGATGCTGGGTGCTCCTGATGCTGGGTGCTCCTGATGCTGGGTGCTCCTGATGCTGGGTGCTCCTGATGCTGGGTGCTCCTGATGTTGGGTGCTCTTGATGGTGGGTGCTCTTGATGCTGGGTGCTCTTGATGTTGGGTGCTCTTGATGCTGGGTGCTCTTGCTGCGGGGTGCTCTTGCTGCGGGGTGCTCTGGCTGCTGGGTGCTCTTGATGCTGGGTGCTCTTGATCCTGGGTGCTCCCGCTGCCGGGTGCTCCCGCTGCCGGGTGCTCCCGCTGCCGGGTGCTCCCGCTGCCGGGTGCTCCCGCTGCCGGGTGCTCCCGCTGCCGGGTGCTCCCGCTGCCCGGTGCTCCCGCTGCCCGGTGCTCCCGCTGCCCGGTGCTCCCGCTGCCGGGTGCTCCCGCTGCCCGGTGCTCCCGCTGCCGGGTGCTCCCGCTGCCGGGTGCTCCCGCTGCCGGGCGCTCCCGCTGCCGGGCGCTCCCGCTGCCGGGCGCTCCCGCTGCCGGGCGCTCCCGCTGCCGGGCGCTCCCGCTGCCGGGCGCTCCCGCTGCCGGGCGCTCCCGCTGCCGGGCGCTCCCGCTGCCGGGCGCTCCCGCTGCCGGGCGCTCCCGCTGCCGGGCGCTCCCGCTGCCGGGCGCTCCCGCTGCCGGGCGCTCCCGATGCCGGGCGCTCCCGATGCCGGGCGCTCCCGATGCCGGGCGCTCCCGATGCCGGGCGCTCCCGATGCCGGGCGCTCCCGATGCCGGGCGCTCCCGATGCCGGGCGCTCCCGATGCCGGGCGCTCCCGATGCCGGGCGCTCCCGATGCCGGGCGCTCCCGATGCCGGGCGCTCCCGATGCCGGGCGCTCCCGATGCCGGGCGCTCCCGATGCCGGGCGCTCCCGATGCCGGGCGCTCCCGATGCCGGGCGCTCCCGATGCCGGGCGCTCCCGATGCCGGGCGCTCCCGATGCCGGGCGCTCCCGATGCCGGGCGCTCCCGATGCCGGGCGCTCCCGATGCCGGGCGCTCCCGATGCCGGGCGCTCCCGATGCCGGGCGCTCCCGATGCCGGGCGCTCCCGATGCCGGGCGCTCCCGATGCCGGGCGCTCTCGATGCCGGGCGCTCCTGATGCGGGGTGCTCCTGATGCGGGGTGCTCTTGATGCAGGGTGCTCTTGCTGCCGGGTGCTCTTGATCGCTTTCCAATTGGTGTTGCTTTCGCTTCTTTCGTCCCTCCTCTCTAACCCACTCCACCTCTTCTTGCTCGTCTCTGCTATGCCCTGCTGTGTGCATGCTCTGTCTCTCTGCAGATGGAGAAGGAGCTGCAGTACCAGAGCGCATTGGAGCTCAGCCTGACCACTTTCAGAGCCATCACTAGCTTTCCCTTCTTTCGTTCCTCCACTATTCTCTGTTCAGATCGAGAAGGAGCTGCAGTACCAAAGCGCATTGGAGCTTAACCTAACAACCTTCCGAGCCATCAGCCACATCCCTCTTGCCTCGGTATGAATTTGGGCCTTTTCTGGTCCTTAACTTCTCCCAACGTATTTGGGCACCAGATCTTGTCTCAACCTCCCTCTCACCTCTCTACGCTTTTCGCTCGTTTCACTTGTCTCGGTTTTTTTTTGCTTGCTTCTCTACATTTTCGTCCTTCAGTGCGGATCTCCTTGTCTTCAGGCCCCTAACCCTCCTCATTTGCCTCCGCGTACTTCTCCGTCCTCCCACCCTCTTCCATCCTTTTCTCTCCCTCCCAAGACTCTCCTCCTTTCTCCCACCTCTCCCTTATATAGCCAAGTGTGTGGGGCATAGCCAAGTGTATTGTTCCACCCACTCACCTCACCCCCGCCTCCCCCCCTCGCAAGGCATAGCCAAGTATGCGCGGCAGAACATGGTCACTTGCTTGGACAGCTACCAGCAGTTTGACACATACCCCCATCCAATCCCTGCATTCTCTTCCACCTCACACCTCACCGCATACCTCACCACCCACGTCCCATCAGGACGTAGCCAAGTATGCGCGGCAGAACATGGTCACTCGCCTGGACAGCTACCAGCAGAAGGACCTCAGGACGTTTAAGGAGGTAATGCCCAATGCTGCATGCCCAGTGCCCAATGCCCCATGCCCAATACCCCATGCCCCATGCCCCATGTCCAATGCCCCATGCCCAATGCTCCATGCCCAATGCCCCATGCCGAATGCCCCTTGGCTCCTGCTCTGATCAAGCCCCGTGAGCCGAAACCGGTCACCACCACCTCCGTGGCGCCCCCTTGGAGCTACTAGCAGAAGGACCCCAGGACGTTTAAAGAGGACTTGAGGTCCTTCTGCTGCCCTTTGGAGTATTCAATTATCTCCTGGTCGTGTGATTAAACTCCTGGTCGTGTGATTGAACTCCTGGTCGTGTGATTAAACTCCTGGTCGTGTGATTGAACTCCGGGTCGTGTGATTAAACTCCTGCCCATTCTGTTACTCGACCGCCCCTTTGCCTTTTCCCATTGTAATTCTTTGACAAACGTGCCTAGCCGTGCCTAGCCATGCCTAGCCTCCTTTGGTGATTGTTCTCTTCATTTTCCAGTCCGTATCACCAATGGTCTCGTCCTCGCGCGTCCATCATCTACCATACCCCATCACTCTGTGCCATGCCGCATCCCCAATGCCCCGTGCTCCACGCAAGTGATATCAGTGATCGACTCCCAGGTCGCCCCAGCATACGTCATCACATGCCTTACTGAACCTTTGCCATTTCCCGACGCCCCATGCTCCCATGCCCCATTCCCCATGCCCCGTGTCCCATGCCCCATGCCCCATGCCCCATTCCCCATGCCCCACTGCCCATGCCCCATTCCCCATGCCCCATTCCCCATGCCCCATTCCCCATGCCCCATTCCCCATGCCCCATGCCTCATGCCCCATGCCCCATTCCCCATGCCCTATTCCCCATGCCCCATTCCCCATGCCCCATTCCGCATGCCCCATTCCCCATGCCTCATACCCCATGCCCCATTCCCCATGCTCCATGCCCCATGCCCCATTCCCCATGCCCCATTCCCCCACGCCCCATGCTCCCTGCGTGCAGGTGATCGCAGTGATCGACTCACAGGTGATCCTCATCACATGCCCCACTGAACCTATGCCATCCCCCCACGCCCCATGCTCCCTGCGTGCAGGTGATCGCAGTGATCGACTCACAGGTGATCCCCATCACATGCCCCACTGAACCTATGCCATCCCCCCACGCCCCATGCTCCCTGCGTGCAGGTGATCGCAGTGATCGACTCACAAGTGATCCCCATCACATGCCCCACGGAACCTATGCCATCCCCCCACGCCCCATGCTCCCTGCGTGCAGGTGATCGCTGTGATCCCCATCACATGCCCCACTGAACCTACGCCATCCCCCCACGCCCCATGCCCCCTGCATCAGGTGGTTGCAGTGATCGACTCGCAGGTCATCCCCATCATCCGCCGCTCCGCCCTCTCAGGCTTCGCCATCTTCAACACCGAGCTTCCAGTGTTCTTCGACCAGCCAGGTGCGCTTCTTCTTCTTCGGCTGTAAGACCTTCCCCTTCCTCTCCTCGGGCTGGCTAGATGCCTGCTCTTGGATATTCATATCCTCTCGTTTCTTTTCCTCTCCTCCCTTGTTTCCCCATACGCCCCATGCCCCCAACCTCCACAGGCGCGCCTCAAATGCTCGCAGACATTCTAGCAGAGCGGGGCTACTTTGTGTACTGGCAGGTAGGAGGATGTTCCTGATTTTTTTGTAGCTTTTGCATGAAATCGTAGGTATCTAGGCGAGTACTTGTGCTATGCTTTTTTCTCCTCTCTTTTCATCTCCAGCTCCACACAGAAACTGTAAACGCAATGTGTGTTTATTATCTGGTTTCTCCTTCCTTGTATATCCGATGTAGCTTAGACCCCGCCACGTTTGCCATCGAGTGTCTGCGCCACATCACTCTCTTCCCTAAAAACCATTTCCTCCCGCCTCCCCCCTCCCTTCCTTCACCCCCCGCCAGACCCGTATCCGAGAGGTGCCCGTGCGCATCGACCCCGCCACCTTTGCCATCGAGTGTCTGCGGCGCACCACCATGGAATTCCACATCAAGTTCGACCGCCCCCTCATCCGCTCCTCCGACGCGCTCTCCTCCCTCTCTGCCTCCTCCTTTCTCACTGCCACCGCTGCCATGGCCTCTGCCTCCTCTCGCTCTCTCATGCCGCATTCGGCGACCTTTGACCCAAGGTGATCAGAGTGCCGGGGTTGGCAGGGGGGGCGACCACAGGGCCTGAGGGGTGTCCTCCTTTGCCTCCCTGGTTCCCACAGGGGAGAAAAGGAAGTGAAGGGATGGTAAATTGCGGCTGCTGCAGGTGGAGTTTCACAGCCGAGGGAAATTCACACCACAACACCCCCACGTAGGAGAACAGGGCTGCTGCACAATTCACTGTTGATAGGACATATTAGAGTCGCATATTTGGTTCCAACTGTTGTGATATAATTCATACTTAGCATTTCTGTAAGTCGATTATCAGTAGATAGTGTCGAATTCTACTAATAATTATAAGTCCGTAGGATGATGTCAGCAAATAGCGCTCGTCATGAGGACAGTCGTTTCAGTCATGCGAACAGTCGCGCCTCTTCATTATCATTTAGGGCGCATAGCGCGATGGTGGCGAACAGGTACATTAGCGAACAGGTACTTTCCTAGAGCTATAAAATCCTTGTAATGTTTTTCTATTGTTAACCTTGAGATTTCGACTTTGAGACTTTAACTTTGACGTCCACAGAATTATATACTCAGGTTCATTCTTACAAGACTTGGGCTGTCTTACTAGTCTACCATTCCAGTAAAGATACTAGGCTAACACTTGAAGTTTTCCAAGTGTTCGTGTTTGCAAATTCTATACTTAGTCTCTTACAACACCTGTCAAATTATTACATGGTATGAGAGCTGTCTGGAATTAAAACTACTGTCAACAATGATTGGAACAACGCCAGCACAGTCTACCGGATCAAGTTTCGGAACTACTGGAGTACATGTCTCCACGACCGCCACTGGTCTCTCAGCCTCTGGACCGTTTCCACCAGCTTATACGCACATCGGTATGCAACAACAGCAGCAGAATCCGTCTTCTGTCAGTACTCCAGGGATTTCATCGACTGCACCTGCTGCGCATCAACAAACAACACAGACAACAGTACAACAACAGGCAACATCACAACCACAGTTTTCAACTCAGTCAATCTCATCAGCGTTCAGTGGAATGAGCCTTGACGGCTCAAGTTACATGCGTGGAGCTATAGCTCCAAGTACCAGTTCGTTTGCTTTCGCACCTTTTATGCAGCAGCCATAGTCGCAGCAGTAGCAGCCCTTCTACATCTTCGGGCGTTCACCTGCTCAGCAACAACAACAGCAGCAGCAACAGCAACATCAACAACCTCAGCAATAACAACAACAACAACAACATCCACAGCAATTTCAGCAGCAGCAGCAACAGCAACAACCTCAACAGCAGGGAATCATCTTTCAACCACCGAATTTACTTAACAGCACACAGATCAAGACAACCATACCTTTTAACGGAGTTGATTTTTACTCCTGGAGCTTTGAATTCGAGCTTCTGGCGCAATCCGCTGGACTATGGCCGTTCTTCATCGGCAAATTTACGTATCCTGTTATGGGAACACAGCTGGAGCAACAGAGTTTCTTGCACGCCCCTCTCCACAGCCATATCATCGTTTGCAGGAGTTGCCGAAGCCACATCAGCCAACACCGCAGTCAACGTCTCAAACACATCAGATGCAGAAACCACCGCAGAATCCACCTCCGTCACAGCATCGTCCTCTGGTTTTTCCATCTGCAATATCAGGAAAAGGGGTATTTGGATGTGTTACAACAGTTGACGTTTCAAAAACTGATTTCGAGACACGACTTGAAGAAACCACAAGTGTTGAAGGCATTCCCTTACCGCAAGTTTACGCTAACCTTGCCCGAGTCATTTCAGGACCCAATACTTGGTATCTCGACAGCTATTGCGGTTGGCAGATGTGCTCCGCTGAAACAAGCTTCATCACCAACCAGCGTCCACTTCGTCGTCCGATACCTGTCACAGTCGCAAACGGACAAACTATTATGGCAAGGTCCGTTGGGAGTGTAATGCTCGAGTCCGTCGACACGGGATATTCCTTACATGTTACCAACGTTCTTATCGTCGCGGCTTCAAACTTCTCTCCACAGCTCAACTCCTGGCACATAAAATTCGCACACAAGGGAATTGTGATATAATGGATCAAGAGTTATGGCACAGTTTATCAAATACTTACCTCGGTCGCGCTGCTACTCAACATGGAGTCTCAGTTCTTCAGTTCATGGCACAGGGTACTTCTGGTGATTCCGAACGCGTCCTTGCTCTCGGTCTTTGGTATCACCCAACAGATTATCAACACGTGGATATTGATTTTCGTGCAACCACTGTACCAACAGCCTCACGAACTGCAGCTGCCGTTCTTACTGCACTGGATACTTGGGAGTTCAATACCACCGATGAAGGAGGCAACGCTTGGCGCACCTTCTATAACACACGTGCCGCCTTTCAAGGAACTCCAGCTCCACTTTGGGGAGAAATCAGTGGCCTTGCAGCTGATGAACCCGAAGTCGTCGCTGAAACCGAGGAAGCAGAAGTCGTCGAGCAGCCGATTCTCCCAGTAGCTGTTGCAGGTCCATCTGTCAAAACATCAACAGAAGCAGTCTCAGATGTTGCAATTGCAACTGCAGTAGAACCGTCAAACGTTCAGTTACCACTTACCCGTTTCATCGAAGGGGAGATCGACATGTCTCCAGCTCTTTCTCCTTTTATCATTTCTTCCCTTTATATAATGCCGATTTCTATCTGCGATCATCAGGACACAAAGCCACATAAGAAATTTGGCATCAACGGTTAGGACATCCATTGCAAGGAATTTTAAATCATTCAATCCGAGCAGCAATTCTTGTCAAAAACAGCCTTCTCTTACCTGACGGCAAGGAGCTGAAACCGCAGTCTCGCCCAACGGTCTGCACTACGTGTCCGGTTGCCAATCTTACCCACAATCCGTTTCGGAGTCATTTCCCTGGCTCCACTCGTCACAAACTGATGCAGAAAGTCTACAGCGATATTCTTAACTTACTAGAAGCAGGACCAAAAGAAGAACAGTATGTGATTACCTTCATCGAAGCATCTACTCGATACGTTTGGATCGCAAACCTTCCTGCTCAACATCTTGCCCATTCAGTTTTTGTCGCATGGCTCGCCGTCGCTAAAAGAGAGTTTGGAACAAAACTGCAAGAATTCCAGAGTGAAAGCGCAAGGGAGTACACGAGCAACGCTTTCACATACTACCTCCAAACCCTCGGCATCAAATGGAAGCAGACACTGCCACACGCACACCAACAGATGGGGGTAGCAGAAAGGATGAATCGGACTCTGCAGGGGAAGATGCGTGCTCTGCTGACGCCGGCAGCCCTTCCTCCTTGTTTTTGGCCGTATGCGATGGACCACGCCGTGCTGTTACACAACATGCTGTCTTCCACGTCACTGCCCGAGTTTTCTTCACCTCACCTGCAATGGACACAACGAGCAAAATGGGGGGTCCACCTCGGCATCGAAAAACAGAATCACGCCTGGAAGATTTTGGATCTTCGCTCAAACCAAATCGTTCCTTCACGTGATTGTCTTTTGTATGAGCGGCTCACCTTGCCCGTTTTTCGTGCCCACCAGGCAGCAGCTGCCAACCCCGCCAGGCTCGCGTGCATTTGCAACTGACGAAGCCGAAGCTGATGTACAGGACGAAGCAGTTTTCGAAGCTTCAGAAGTTGCCGCAACAGACATTCCTGAACCTGTCACGTCGTCTGGTATACCGGAATTTATTCCTCTTGCAGATGTTAATTAGGATTACGTTCACGAAGTCCATGTCAGTTACGAACGGGATCGCCAACAGCAGCCGATGCCTGCCGTCTCCGACGAAGCAGTCCGTGTTACACCTGACAAAATTGGGGGGGAAGAAGGGTCAGAAGAAAATTTTGCAGGTGCAAACGGAGAACATCCGCGTTTTACAGAAACTGGTTTACAGATCCTTGGATTTGCAGTCGCAGTACAGCACAACAACAGTAAAATACCTGAACCAAAAACCGTTCGACAAGCTCTTACGAGTCCTCACCACGAAAAATGGCGCAAAGCCATGGATAGAGAGCTAGCAGCTCTCGAGAGTTGCGGCACATGGGAGTTAATACCAACAACAGAAGTACAAGGGAGGAAAGTACTCACCGGAAAATGGGTCTTCCGTGTCAAGACTAATGCAGATGGGTCGTTTGAGAAATTCAATGCGCGATGGGTCGTCCGCGGGTTCGAGCAGACTTTCGGTATCGACTACGAGCTAACTTTTGCCCGCGTCGATCGACATACGAGCGTTCGGATTTTACTCTGTGTCGCCGCCTGCCGCAAACTCCGACTTTGACAAATCGACAAAATCGCTATACGACATTAAACAGGCACCCCGGCTATGGCAGCAGTACCTACATTCACAACTACTCACTGCTGGATTCCGACAACTACCGCATGACCAGGGGATGTATTTTCTAACTGATGGGAGCAACTGTATTTTTCTCGTCGCCTACGTCGACGATATTCTCTACGTCAGTACTACCGATTCGCTCGCCAATGCCTTCATACTGAAACTACAGGAAAACCTACATCTAACTGTCTATGAGTCAGTCTCATAGTTCCTCGGTTTAAACATTACCTGCTCACCAACGTCTATTCACTTCACAGCTACGAAGTATGCAGCGACACTTGCTGCCCGTTTCAACCGCACTCCTTCTACAATCTCTACACCGTAGGGATCACTACCGACAGACTACAAACCGAAAACTACACCATTGAGACTAACCGACTTACAGATCTATCAACATCAGTTAGGCTGTTTACTATTCGCCGTTGTTACTTGTCGTCCAGATCTAGCCTACATGGCTAGTCAACTCGCTCAGTTCTTACGCCGTCCTGAAGAGGAGCATCAATTCGATCTTCTCTGCGCGCTTCAATATTTCGTCTCGACTCCTAACGTTGGTTTAGTCTACAACGTCGTCGGCTGTAAAACGCTATACCTACACGGTTTCGTCGACGCCGATCACAATGCTGCTACAACAAAACGACGCTCGCGTACTGGATTCATCTACCGCCTTGAACCTATCGAACCTATTTCTTGAAGCAGGAGCTGATTGCTCTCTCTTCTGCTGAAACTGAATTTATTGCTGTCTGCACAGCAACACGCGAAGGACTTTACCTACAGGAGTTATTGGAAGAAGCGAAGTTGACGATGAGTACTCAGTTCACTTTACAGTGTGACAACCAGCGTGCAATTCGCATCGCGCATCAACCCGGCTTTGTCAACAGGACAAAACATATTTCACTACGTTACTTTTTCGTCAATGATGAAATCGAGAAGGGGAGAATGCGATTGGTCTATTGTTCGACCGACGAAATGGCTGCCGACTTCCTCACGAATAAGCTGACACGACAGAAGTTTCAGTACTGTAACAAGCTCTGCGAGATCTTCAAGAAGTGACACTATCGTGTCAACTTATACATATGCTGTATGTAGAATTTATAGGCTAGCCTAGGTGTGTGCTTCTAGTGAGTACAACCCCAACAGGTACATGTTCTAGGTTTCTCACACTAGTCCATTCATTCTCTCTTTCTAACATGGTATCATGAGTAGGTTCGGTTCCTCTCGCCCGCCCACGCTTCCGCCCTAGGCCCTAGCCGCCCTCGTGACCCGTCCCTAGTCGGCCCCTTGGTCGTCGCGTCCGCCCCTAGCCGGCCCCCTGGCCGTCACGCCCGCCCCTAGCTGGCCCCCTGGCCGTCGCGTCCGCCCCTAGCCGGCCCCCTGGCAGTCGCGTCCGCCCCTAGCCGGCCCCCTGGCCGTCGCGCCCGCCCTTAGCTGGCCCCCTGGCCATTGCGCCCGCCCTTAGCTGGCCCCCTAGCCGTCGCGTCCGCCCCTAGCCGGCCCCCTGGCCGTCGCGCTCGCCCCTAGCTGGCCCCCTGGCCGTCGCATCCGCCCCTAGCTGGCCCCCTGGCCGTCGCGTCCGCCCATAGCCGGGCCCCTGGCCGTCGCGCCCGCTCTTAGCAGGCCCCCTGGCCGTCGCGTCCGCCCCTAGCCGGCCCCCTGGCCATCGCGTCCACCCCTAGCCGGCCCCCTTGGCTGTCGCGTCCGCCCCTAGCCAGCCCCCTGGCCGTCGCGCCCGCCCCTAGCCAGCCCCCTGGCCATCGCGCCCGCCCCTAGCCGGCGCCCTGGCCGTCGCGCCCGCCCCTAGCTGTGATGTGTGCTGATGACTCTAGTGTGACTGCTTCTTACTACCCCTTATTGCCTAGTGTCGGCATGTCTAGACTTGCATCCCCTGCTGCGTCAGGCATAGGATCCCTTGCTTTGTTTAGCCTAAGTTCTACTGTCGCTGCTCTGTCTTCAGACGCCACCGCTGCGCTCTCCTTCACCCTCGACTCTGGTGCTTCTCGATGTTTCTTCCGTGACTCCACTACG